GCTGCTGTTTACTTAAACCTGGTTAAGCCGGACCAATGCATACAAAGAAAATCAAAGAAACGAAACGAAACAAAACGGAAATAGCTTTGAGTATCTGTGACATGAGACCAAAGTCCGGTTATGGGCAGATATCGACGGCATTCGCTAGTAAAAAGCGCGCTACGAAGCCTTTAAGTCAAAATGGCTTACAATATATAGACGAAATAAAGAACGCAAATAAAACACGTTTTTGTGTGTGTTGCAGTGATTCGCTTTAGATACACAAGTAGATAGGATAGATAAATAACTTCATAAGAACGCTTAAATATTTATAAATGAATGTTTATATATATGTAAGGTTTTTCATTAGAAGTTTATCAACAAGTGAAAAGTTGATGAAACAAAACATTTTGGAAAGATTTACTCACAGTGGAAACTTAAGGCAAACAAAAACAAAACGAAGCCACACAAGGCCGGGTAACACCCGCTAATCATATTTATGTATGTATATTTCATGCAGGCTCTGCCCAGCCACTTGCCAAATTGAACACTGAACGGCCAAATTAGCCCATTGGGCGATAATAGACTGTAAAATGAAAACAAATACAGGTGGTTTAGCTCACACTTTGTTTTACTATTGAAAAATACACACATATATACATATGTATACATATATATATATATAGACGCACGGACACACAAAGGGCAGCAAAAGAGCGGGCAAGCAGACAAGCGAGCAAAACTTTAACCGAGTGCATAAAACAGATAATAAATACGAATATGTATATATGTACATATATAGACGCTATGTACATGTGTGCAAGTATGTGTGTGCATAACAGAGATAAACAATGCACAATGGACACAACGAATTCTGCATACGGTTTCTTAATATTCATCAAACGGCAAACTGGAGTAGCCAACAAGAGCTTAACAATTAGTGATGGCATTTTCAATAGAGATGTGCGTGCTCGGTTAAGCAAGTTAAAGCAGGGTTTGCTTTATTGAAATCTCACATATATTAATAAAAAATATTATATCATATAAATATAGTCCGTCATATATTAGTAAAAAAAAAACAGAATTCTATTAAGTCCCTTAACTTTTATGCTCCACATTCCGCCAGGGTATGTGCCTATCAAGTATCTGCTTTACATGTGTTTATATTTGTATGTGTTTATAAATAAATATACAATATATGTATATATTTTAGGGTAGATAGTCGATCAATATACAAAATATGTATATATATAGTTACATGAACATATGTATTTATCTGTTAGTTTTATTAATGAATTAAGTTTGAAATACGATATAGTTAACAAACAAAAAGAATCGATTGGATTAATTAACTAAAGTAATTAAATTCGTATCAATAAAATAACTGCTAAAATTGTTCTTACGAACTGTAAATCACGTATTAAAATGGAAAAGAAAAACCATTCCTAGAAATCAAAAGAGATCTGATCTAAAGGGGCGTAAGATCTTAAAAAAAGGAATTGAATAAACAATTTTAGACATTTAATTTTCAACTTTTTGCTCTTTAATGTTTTTGTTATGTATATTTGTGCGTGTATGTGTGTGTGTGTGTATATGCATTTATTGCGGTCAGCTGAAAATGGCTATTGTTGTTTTTTGGGCACTGACCTACGCACATTCATTCGTGTTTCATTGCGCAATTTGTTAATAAAAACTACAATTACAACAAACACGAATGGAAACAGTTGAAAGCAAGCTGAATTTCAAATACACTTGTTCTTATGTATCGAAGTATAATTGAAAAGAGAGAGTTATATTTGATATAGCAGTTTGATTTTGTTCAAATTCTGATTATATATATTCATAGTAAGTTTACATATTGTTGATATGATGAACAACCATAAATTTTAAGTTCGATCAACATTCATTTTTCACACAAAAGCTTTAAACTCAGCCGATTACAATACCCATACATATATACATATACATATGGCTTCAGCTCAGTTGTTACACAAATCGTCTCAGAGTTTAAGTACCCAAGTGGAAGGGTATCTTAAGTGCAGCACTCTTAATTAGGCAAACAATTGCAAAGTGCTAGGTAGAGCAGAGGTAAAGCAGGAAGCAGGGAAAGAGCAGCGGCAGGTGGGGAAGTTTTAAACTGTGGTTGTGACTGTGGCGAAGGGGAGAGAAATGTAGAAATGCTTTAGACCGATACTGAAACCGAGCAGCAGCTAATTAAACGCAGTTGAGCTCAGCGGCGCAGCAGTCAATTGGCAGCGAAAATGCGACACGGCATAATCATGGGACCCCGCAACCCAACCCCTTCTCTCTCCCCAACCGTCTGTCTCTTCCATGCCCCTGTGTCTCAATGCCGACAAGGTTAAACTATAAATAGATATGGAGAATAACAAGCAGTGGCAAAAACAACAACAACCACAACTTGTAGAGCTGCGCGTATTTATATCAAAAACAACAACAAGAGCAGCGACGACGACGTCGACGTTGACGTCGGCTGTGAAATACTCGAATAAATAAATGAAAAACCTGAAACAATTTGTAGAGAGAAACGTTTAATCGACGACATAGCGCAGCTGTAATACCCTGTAATATGTTTGTGCATTTCTTTCTTGAGTAGTTTTAAATTAATAATATTATTTATTTATATCTATAAGTTATATACAAATTGTAATGTGTTTATGTTTAGATCTAAAGACTACTTATTTGTACTTTATATATCAAAAATCATTACAAATTGTAAGTGCGCTGCCTAAGCCTCCCCACTGAGGTTAGCTCCAATTGGGCTACAAATATTCTCAGCCCTACCAATTTTGATAACATCTTGTTAATTCAATATATGTGTGTACGTGGCCAAACAGTGCGACGTAGCTGCACTGACCTTGGTAAGGGTAAATGAAATGAAAAACTTGAAAATGAAACAAATCCAAACAAAAAATTTTGAAATATGAAATAAAATAAAAAGCGTAGCAGCGTCAGCAGCGACGTCGCAGTCGCCGTCGCCTTTGCCTGGCCCAGTTTTAAGCTTTGGCAACTTAATAGGTCAAATTAATTGTCGTTTGCGATGTCCCAAAACAAACGCAACCCACTTCAGAAGCTCACACACACACATAAACATATATATGGGAGAGAGTCGCACACATTAGTGTACAAACGAAAGCTGCGACGTCACAGTGAAAAGCTTTTGCAAGCCTTTGAATTGATTGAAATGCCAAAAGCCTCGAAACGATTGTCTAGTGTTGGCTAACACACTCACAACGAGACATCGGCCGAGGTTTCGGGGCGACAATATCGATCTGCGTGTCTGAGGGCTGCTCACTAATCGTTGTATGGCCTCCTCCGATAATGTGATTATAGGATTTCCAATGCCAATGGCCAAGCCCAAGCCCAGCAGGTCTGATTCTTAATACAAACACACACACATATATGTATATATATGCAAGCATTAATATACCAATTGATTTGTGTAATAGAATATTCAAGAGGAATTCATTACGGGCGCACAGTTGTTCGTTCCCCTTTTATGCTACAGTTAAAAAGAGGGCAATTTTAGATTCTGATTGCACCCGTAGATATTTTTTCGTGCAAAATGTCAACAGCTTTTCAGGTGCAAATGCACCCAAAAACCATAGACAAATGTATTTTTTTATATATATATATATAAGATGTATTTACACATTTTAGCATAAGATATATAAATATGTTTTTTAGATTGCATAGGTAACTTGCTAATCTATCACTTACATATATACAAAGCAGGAAAATTGCCGTGTCTGAGAATCACATAGTTGACAAATGTTTGTTTTTTTTTTTTTAATTTGCAGTGCAACGGAAAGACAACAGAATCTAACACACGCACATACATACATACATACATTTATATATTTCTATACCCATAATAACTGACGGCTCCAGTGAAAATACAGTAAGAACAAATTTCAACAAATTTTCACTCTATGGCAAATGTACCGTAATTTGGTTCGTAATAACTGAATTTACAGACGAAGACGGGCTAAGGGTAGCCATGACACAGTGGCCAAATATTGTTGAAAGTTTTTCAATTTTAAAATATTAAGACTCGTTAAAAAACCCCTATATGACAAATATCGGATTAATGTACATACATACACACACTCATATACACATATATGTATACATATATACAAGTAATTAATACTATAAAAGCTCTGCTCTGTAATTGCGTAAATACAAATATACAATCAAGCAAACACACTTATGTACATATGTATTTACGTTTATGTATGCATATTTTGATACACATATTATGATTATTATTGCAATCAATCATAAACAAATAATCAACAATTGCCAATACAATAAAATGATCATATTTCTTATAATAAACTAAATCAATCATTTCTACATTTATTTTTGGGGCCGCCTGCCATGTGACGTGTGTACATACACACACACACATGCAAGCACGCACGTACAAATACATATCGTACATGCTACATGTTAAGCATTTTGTTGTGTTCAGCGGTCGGGGCGCAAAAGCAATGAAAATAGCAACAAAAACTACGCCGTTAACAAAAAATTTCAACAATATACATTTTCTTATAAGAATAAGAAGGTCAGGCCGACAGTGATGCCGCCGTTTGCTTCGCAGTTACGACTGCCGATGTTAGCGTCGACGTTGGCTGCGGCTGCGACTGCGATGCCAGCGTCAGGTAAGCGTTTTAGTAACTGCATATGCGACAAGCACATAATTAAATTGATATCCCAGTAATTAAAGCGATAATATATAACAAAAACAAAACAACTGTAACAACAACAAGAAGAAAAGAGTATATATCAACATAAGGCGCAAAGCCTAACGGAACGTGCAACAAGCCCGTAGCCGTAACAGGGGTACAACGGCAGCGTCGTATTTCACCACACCAAAGACAGTGAGAGAGAGAAATAGTGAATACACCACCACAAAGAGAGCGAACGCTGCAGACGACGACGACGCAGCCGACGACTCGTTGGCTAGCTGACAAACCGAAACCGGCTTTGGTTATAAATAAATCTTTGCTATGCTGGTATTTGGCTTTCGAGTCTCTAGCGGTGCAGTGGCAGCAACAGCAGCAGCGAGCAAAACACAAAAGCAACAAACGGCGTTCAGGCGAAAAACACGAACTTACCGAAACGAAATCGCTGTGAAAAGAAAATACATAAAACAGACCAGACCACACAAAATCCAAGCAAGAAAAACTTACAGACATTCGGGCAGACTTTTTTTGAAATTGTTGTTTTTATTTTAATGAAACACGCATTTGTGCTTCTACTTGCGCTTTATAATTTTTATTTAACTAAAAGCAGCATTTCCATTAACTAGTGCAAAGCACTTGTGCTCTATTTATTTTTTGTTTTTTTTTTGTGTTTTGCGAAGACAAAACAAACGCAAAGGAAACTTTAATTGGAGCATCGGGCCAAAGGCAAAACAACGATAAGCGGGCGTATACAAAACAAACGAGAAACGCATTAGGAAAAAAAAAACAAAAAGCAAAAGAAAAAGGGGATTAGAGCTCAACGCGCGCGCACTGTTTGTAAGTGTGAATAAGTGAAAGTTACGCGCGCGTGTGCAGCGACATAGGCCACGCCCACGCCACACCGCCCACAGACAATGAACCGATCAAACAGTTTTGTCAGCTCACTAAAATGGTGGCCACTGCAGGGCCACAACAATCAGGCAACGCCACCGACCGGAGCAGCGTCGAATGGCGGCAGCGCCGGCTATTCACAGTCGGCGCCCAGCTCTCCCACATCGAATTGGCCGCCGTCGCTGCAGCAGCAGCAGCATCACCACCACAAGCTGAGCGTCGGCGCCAATGTGAACGCCACATTTGGCAGCAGCGTCGCCGTACAAAAGCTGCGCGAATCGAAATGGTTCAAGCCCGAAGAGCATCGTATTTTCTGCGCCGTAGTCGAATGCGGTTTCATTGTGGAGGTGCGCAGCAGTGCTGCTGCCAAAGCTGCGGCAGCTGCAGCCGCTGCTGCTGCTGCGGCGGCCGCTGCCAGCGATGCCGATTCCCTGGACATCGATTGCCCGGTCCTCACACTAGCGCCGCCATTGATAATACCCCGTAATGGCAGCAGCAGCATAAGCTTTCTCGAAGCGCAGGATGAAAACGAGACGCCGGTAGCCTCATGGTACGGCATCGTACTGTGCAAGGTGGCCAAAGGTGAGTACAGAAAATGGAAAAAGCGATTGAAGAGAGAAAGAAAAAGCTTGCCTCTAAGTGCTGCAGCGTGAAAAGCTCATATCAAACTGTTCATTTTATACCGCAAAGAATGTTAACAAAAAACTTGAATGAACAAAAAAATTTTTTTTTAATTCGTATGGCTCTATTAAGTGGTTATTCGTTGTGTACTTGACCCAAAAAAATGAAAAAAAAAAGCTGCTTCGATATCAGTTTTTCTTACCGTTGAGGATGATTAATCACATTGCAGACGTCAGAACAATTAAACTAATCTCACAAGTTTGGCAAATGCTGATATTTCAAAATGACATTTAATAAAATCAACCAATTTTATATACATAGTACTCATGCATAAGTGTGTGTGCACATATACATATATGTTGTATATATGGGCGCTTTTTATCTAATCGAAGACAAGAAAACGGTCGAGTGCGGCCTACAAGAACAATGAACACCTCTCAGCTTTGAAGAGGCAGCAAAACAAAGCGCCAGCAGCGCAGCAGCAGCAACGAACTTTGCGACGTCGCGTTTTGCACGCACGCATTCATACTCGCAGACAAATAGTATACATATACAAGTACGCAGGCATACAATGTTTCGCTCACACTTGCTGCTGCAGCAACATGACCATTCACAATGCTGCGCTGACAGCTGCTAGAACATTCCGTTCGTATGCGTGCGCAGAGTGAACAAAAAATGTAAACAACACGAATATTTTAAATATTGCTGAGAATGTGCGCCTTGTCATAGGCAGCAGCAGCAGCATCATGTGCTTTGCGTCACGCCTGCTGCTGTTTTTTTTCTTCTTTCACATTGCTGCTTTGCCGACCGCACGTCCACCAGTCATTGAATCTAACTAGCGGCAAATGGTCCCAGTCTTGTGATGTGTGGTGAACTTGTTTAAGTGCTTTGTGTTTTCTCCTCTCCTCAAAAGCTTACTCAACTTAGAGACATTCACCACTGTGAAGGCGACTGTTGCATCTCGTGCTGCGAACAATTCACTAGATATTGCGGTGGGTGTTTGCCGTGCTTATGTACGTGTTTATATATTTATATAGACATATATATGACTGCTTACATGCGTTTCCTATTGCATCAAAGCTTTTGATTTTAATTGTATACCAATGTGGTGATTGTCCTGTACGTTGACATGACAGAACAAGCTGTTATTAGCACGCACACATGTACAAAATTACACACAACCACACACATACAAGACATGTACAGACAGTGGTATATAGACGATAAGTCTTATATGAATCTCATAGCAAATTTGAATTCATTAATCATTTAACTGTTTGCTCCCCTTTTGTGGGCACATACAACTATAGTTGTAAATACTTTTACTAACATTAGACAACGACATACTGATAAAAACGCTGAAAGCGTGATTAACACATTTAAATGTAATTGCTGCATTTGAATAGAATCGTTGATAAACCTTAAACCGCATGCTGGGTGACGTCATACATAAATAGCGCTTATCTGTTTCGCCTGAATAAGGCTTATCGGCGCTCATACAAACACAATAGCACCCCAACAGGTGCCGCTTTGTAATACGTTCAATGAACCATAAGAAAGAAAAATTAACATTTGTGAGCAATCTGTGGATGAGCTCACTTCAAAGTGCACTCCTCTTCCTCTTCCGACTGAACACACATTTTTTCCCACGACCCGTGATTACATTTTACAGTTATTTAATTATGAAATATACGTATCAACATGAGCGCCTGGGCGATTACATGTTTAGCCGACATAAGTCATAAGACAACAGAAGAAAAATGCAACTTAAATAACAATCAGCCGGCCGCCCTCTTCAACGAGTCACCCACACATTGGGACAAACAATTTAAAATGCGTGCAAATTAGTTGCGCATGGCAAATACTCAAAACCGTTAAACAACAACAGAAGGCTGAAAAAAAGGAGCACAAAAGTGTGAAATATGAGCGATGCTAATTATAAACGAATAAAACTCATGTCATTCATAAAAAAACAATTACGCAACTAAGCAAAAACAATGAACAATTGCTGTTGGTAATATGTAATGTCTAGTTTATGATATAATATGAGGCTTAGTAAAAGTGTGGAAAAAAGTTATATCGTTACATCAGTCTTGATGAACTTAAGCGCTGAAAACTTAGCTCGTTACTTAACAATAATTTAAATTATTTTGATTTATTTTGAATTCTGCCTATTAGGCAAAAATTAAAAAGTAATCAAAGCGAGCGTAGTTAATTTTGAATTATGTGAGGTAAAAAGTTTAGAATTTTTAGAGAAAATAAATATGTGAAATTACAAATTGCATCAGAATTGCGAGAAACTGTGCAATGCTTGTGTGTATATGTTTATCGACATCGTTAGGATAATCGATTGCAGTGTGGCCACTGATTGCAGTATGCAACTAGTGTTGTATAACAATAAATATGAAAGAATCAAACAAATGGGCAACGCTGCAGCAATTTAAATTTGAATTTAAACGAATCAATTGACAGTATTTGCAGAATGCACCTGTTTGTGTGCCAGAATTGAAATTGTCATTTTGATTGTTGGTTTAATTGATACCAATATATATTGATAATAATATTAATGTGAGTGTGTGTGTTTGTTTTACAATTGTTTGACAGACAATAAACCAAAACCGGAAACTATTGAGATCTATTCTGTAAAAATACGAGAAAACGGAACATACAAACTAATCAAAATGTCATTGGCCGACATTTGGAGCCATGGCTGGGAGTTGCGCATCAATAATTTTGCTGACAAGGAGAAAACGCCGCACAACGAAAAGGACATACGCAATCAGGTGAATGTCAAATATTCTATATATATTAAATTTTTTTGTTTTTTACCAAATTTGTTGGCGTTTGTTTACAGGTGTCGCTGGCACGCAAGGCCAAGCAGAGTCTTTGGAATAATAATAAGCATTTTGTGTACTGGTGCCGCTATGGCAGTCGCCAGCAGGATGTACGCAAGCGACAGGTAACGACGAGTGCGAATCACGTGCTGCTGCATTTGATCAACTGATAAGCGACGGACCTATATACTCTAGTTGTGTATAGGTAGTATCATATTCTGTATATTCCAAATGCCCGCCACACACACACACACAAACAACTAACATAAACATCAACACCTTGTTATAGTTGCAGCAGCAAAGCACACACACACACACAGACACACAGACACAGACACAGACACAGACACAGACACACACACACACACACACACACACGCACGCACAACTGTTTACTTGGCCAACTTGAAACAAACGGACAACCGAAAAGAAATCTTAATCAATCAATCTTATATCATATATACATATTGATATAATGTATATGTACGTGCATTCGACTGATCTGAACATAAGCAGAGCTATGCCAAATTCAATATATATAAATGTATGTATATATATATACATACATATATATAATGATGATTACTGATAAATCGCAACGATATAACAATTCATTTCATCAATTGCATTTTGTGTCAGGCTACACAGCAATAGCAACATTAAAGAACAAATAATAATAATTATAGTATTTATAATAACGAAAATCGCTTGTGTTATATCGTCATGCAAATCTTATAAGTAATCAAATATATCTTGCAGATGTCCGAGTGCGTGAAATGGGGCAGCGTTGGCATGAATGCGGGCATGTTGCTGGTGCTCAATAATAGGCAAAAGTGCCACTCCCACTCAAAGTAACTAACACGAAGCACACACTTATAAAGCATATGAACACATACACACAAACACACACACACACACACACAGACACATTTATACATATCGCTTTAAATTCTTCTGCTTTGTCACAGAGCGTTAGGTGAAGGAGAAACAAAAGAGAAACAAACAAAATCCAAAGCAAATTGTGATAAGATAAATCATATTTCAGCACCAAACAAATGCAAATATATGTATATTTATTAACATAATGATACATACATATGTATATGAACAATATGCAGAAGAAACAACAACACAGCGATCGTGTGAGCAGCAGCGACTGCTAGAGAGCGGGCTCTAAATTGGTTACTTTATTTAATTAAAAAAAAAAAAGGGTAATACACACACACACACACACACACAGAGGCACACACATAAGTGCATTTGCTGTTGCAACTTTGAGAAAAAGAAAAATACAAATTGTATTGAAATTTGTATATTTGACAGAGAGAGAGACACACTGTGAAATTCGAAAAGACTTATTAACAATTTGTTGTTTTTTTTATTATAATTATTATTATTATCATTATTTGTATGATGTATTATAGCTATTATAATATAATTATTATTATATATTATGTTGTCATAGAAATATAGATAATCAAACAGGCACTTTTTTGGCTACAAAACAATTGAAGAAAGAAATACAAAAACAAACACAAAAAGCACGCAAACTTGGCGTTTTTCAACACTTTTTGCTGCAGCATACTTTTGTGCGCGTGCTTAATTGCTTTACCATAAAGCACGCGGCATATATTCCCCACACACACTCACACAACTCACCACACCTCAATTCATGCATTGCGCGTAACGTAGCGTAACGTCAACCAATTAGTTTGTAATTGATAACATTCACATTCATACACACACACACACCCACATACATAAATATATACATACGTTTAACTATATATTATGTATTTTTGTTTTTAGTCTTTTAAGCGATTTTTAAAATATTTATATATATTATATATACTATACGATAATATATACATTTGGCAATGTGAAATTTGAATATGAAATGTTTGTAAAATGCTTTATATTTGGATATTATTAAATGTTTACCTACGGACAACTAATTAACAAAAGACTTTCATTTGATCGATGCGAAACTAAGTGCTTTTGGAGCCTTGTTACAGAAAAACTTCTAACTTCCGAAGCAAAACTTAATAGACGACTTCCAATAGTTAGCCACTTAAGTAAAATAAAATGTATTATTTTTGAATACGGTGAAAATTCTTTCCAACTTCGTTACGATCGGACCAAATAACGTAAGTTGAAAAAAGTTCTTAAGGAAAGGTTGAAAACGATTTACAACACACATGCTTGAAACTCACCTCACGCAGCAATCCGAAGAGCACATCCGTTGAGAGCGACCGCTCGTGCGCCTCGTCCATAATGATGGCCGCATAACTGTCCAGGTCCGGATCGCGCAGGCTCTCACGCAACAAAATGCCATCGGTCATGTACTTGATAACTGTGCGCTCCGAAGTACAGTCCTCGAAACGTATAGCATAGCCGACATCCTCGCCTGCAAGAAAATTTGAGCTTTAGATCGATGTAGTTAAGTGGGGCTTGAGTTGTGCAAGACTTACCCAATTGAGTGTCCATCTCGTCGGAGACGCGTTTTGCCACCGACATGGCGGCGACACGACGTGGCTGGGTGCAGCCAATCATACCCCGTTTGCTGTAGCCATCCTCGTGCAGATATTGAGTTAGTTGTGTGGTCTTGCCGCTGCCCGTTTCGCCAACGATGATGACCACCGAGTTTTCGCGTATGACGTTAAGCAGCTCCTGGCGGGAGGCGAAGACGGGCAAAAACCGACGCTGCTCGCCGATGGTCTTCTTTCGTGAGAATTCGCTTTTGCCTTTGTTGTCCTGCATGTCGCGCATGTGATCGGCGAACTTTTGATCCTTGCGATAGTCGGCCGTATCGTTGTCCCTATCGAATTTGGCATCGTCTTCGTCCTGCGGCCGCTGCACGCCCATAATGTTGCCCAGCTTGGTGCCGCCCAGCTCCCAGTGTTTCTTCTGCGCCTTGCGGCGCTCCTTCTGCTCACGATAGTTGCGCACCAGGAGGCTGCCTTTGCGTGCCAGCAGGGCCATATCCGAGGTGGGATCCTTGACGGGCACCACTGGCTCCGGCTGCTTGGTGAACACAATGCGACCGTCCAAAAAGGGCGGCACTATATGATGCACCAGTAAGTGAACTCGCTCCAGCGCCTCCTCGTCGAAATCGTCGCTGACATTGATAGAGGTGACAACGCCGGAAGTTAACATTCGATTACGCTCCCATAGCTCGTTGTCGCGATTGTTTTGCCGCTGCTGGGCACTGATGCGCTTCTTTCGCTTCTGCTCCAGCTGCTCTTCGCGGCGGCGAAAGTATTCGGCGTTGGTGCCGCCAAACGGATTGTTTTCGTCGTCGTAGCCCTCGTCAATGTTATACCATTCACGGTCGAGACGTCGCTGCTCCTCTTCCCACAGGTCACGCAACTCGGCATCGTCAGCCCAGGGCGTGGCGCCGCTGCGCTTGCGATCGTGCGCCCATTGGTTGTAACGATGTGCGGGCGTTGCACGTGTCGTGTCGTCTGCATTGTGATACTTGCTGCGACTGCTGCCCCTCTCGGACCAATCTCCACTGCCGTAACCAGAGCCAGCGCCTCGTGGTGTGGGAAAGTCCCAGTCGGATTTGCGCCCACCGATGCCCTCGCCATCGTCATCATCCCATGAGCTGCCGGAGACACCGCCACTTGGTGTGCCCGGCTCTCTGGGCGTGTGCACGCTGCGCACCGACACAGAACGATCCCGGTTGCGATCTCGATCCCGATCCCTCCGTCTGCCATCTCTGTACAGCTCCTGATCCTGTTCTCGTGCCCGTTTGCGTCTCTCATCGCCACGACGCTGTCTGTCACGCTCACGCTCTCTGTCTCTGTCTCTTACCCTATCGCGATCCCGTTTGCCATCTGAGTCATCGTGCGTCGTTTTACGCACTGCGCCCTTGTGGCGATCCCGATCACGTTGAATGTGCTCGCGTAGCCGCTCTCTAGCCTTCTCCGAGACGCCGCCCGTGTGTGATGGCGTCTCGTCTTTATGTTCGCGTAGCTGCCGACTAAGCTTCTCAAAGCTCTTCGTATCTGGTTTCTTGAAAGCAAATTCGCTGGCGGGCGTGGTGTTGGGTGTGCTCGAGGGCGTGCCGCCGTCATCGTACTCATTATCCTGAAATGAGATCAAGCGCGCTTTCTCAGCACGTCGCTTGGCAGCTAACTTGTCCAGGCCCAGCACCGAGCCTTTTGGAACCTTAAAGCTGGGGCTTTCACAACTGCTGTCCTTGGGCTTTTTGAGCACCAGGCCACCACGCTGCCCCTGGCCTGAAGTGCCCTCCAAGCGATGCACGCCTGCATCATCCTCGGACATGCTATTATTTCGCGTTTATTAAGTTTTCTTTTGTTTGCCCAAACGTACCGTGCGCGTTTCAGAATAGAGGTGGAATACTATCGATACAATTATGAAATTACCGATAACTTTTTATCTGGTTATTTATATAAGAACAATTTTTAAATCAATTTTATTAATATTCATACATAATTCTACAATAAATATATTAGCGGCGTAATGCTATTTTATTTGCATGCTACAGCTAACACAATATTAACAATTATTAGATATATGAACATCGATAACATTCCATCTCTACTTTACATCACAGCTGAGCTGTAAATGTGCAACATACTCTCTGGCAACGCCCGCCAATGGCGGCGAAAGTAAAACACCTAGTCTCAACGTAATGGGCTTAATCGTTTATTCATTTTCGTTTTCTCTTTTTTCTTTACTGTCCAGTACTGTTTGGCTTATCCACTTCAGATACGGTGCATTTCCAGCCTGTATTGGTAGCGATATTACCTCCGCCACGCTGTATGGATGATTCTCCCGTACAAACTTGCTCAGCTCATCGATGCGGGCAGTGCGTGTCTTGATCATCATAAGATATTCGTTATCCTCGTTGACTTTACCTTCCCACATATAGATTGACTCGATTTGTGGTATAATATTCACACAGGCTGCTAATTTGCGTTCGATGATGCCGTGTGCGAGTTTCTTTGCAGACTCCTTGTCAGGTGTGGTTACAAATGCCACAGAGCTACTGCCGGCTTCATAAACAGGAGCCGAATCCATATTGCTAATTTTATTATATTGACTTTGGTTGCCAATGGTAGAGGTATTGCTGGGCGTATTGCAAGCAGTTGTCGCAAAGGCCGTGCGGCTTGTGACGGCAGCAGTAGCAGCCACAAGTATTAAATTGCGAGCAAGTACCCAACGACAGGGCACCGACCTTGCCTTTCTCAGATACTGCATTAAATGCACTTTGCTCGACCAATGAAACACTGCGAAAACAAAACAACAGTTGACGCGATACTTAAAAGAAATCAGACTATCGAAAAGTGATTTTCTCGTTAGCTATCGATACAACTGAGCTTACACACGCCATATTGGCATATTTAAAATTTTGTTTCATTCGTTCAACACCATATTTTCATTTTAAATTTGTATTTACTTAATATTTATTTGATATCTAACTGAGAGCTAAAGTTTCTGAACATATGCTACACTAGAATTCTTGAAATTACAAAAAAATAAACGTGCAAGTTTTTTTAATTTTTTTTTTTTTACATAGAACTTGTCTAAAATATCTATTTCCGCACGTATTTATAGTTTTCTTTTTATAGTTATAATGTGTGACTCAAGTAAAAAATTAGTGAATTAGTTTCGTACAAATGCAATAAAAAAAAAAGAAAAATATGAAATGTATAATTATTTAATATAGTTTTTGTGCTTAAGACTAAATGATGTTTTTTTCTTCTCTTTGCTTCACTACGGTGCGCTGTACATTGATTGGGAGTCTAGTTTACAACGCGCACATTCGAGTGATTGGATATTGGATCGAGTATGCATACATGTTTTAAAGGTGTTTCTCGAAATTTCAGCGCATTGGGTGTTCCTTGTGTCTCTAGTCCGTTTCGTGCTTATCCGATTCAGGCTTGTTTGCCGCATCATTCGCTGCTGACGGCGGCGGCTGTGAGGCGGGCGCTCCACTCACAGGCGGTGGTGTAGCCGCTGGTGCTCCGGGTGGCACTGCTGTTGGTGTTGGGGGCGGTGCTGATGCTGGCGCTGGTTGTGTCGCCGGCTGTGGCAGCGTATGAGGTTGTGGTGGCGGCGGCTGTTGTGCTCCATAAACAGTGGCCGGGCCTGGGGCCGTTTCATGCATGTGCCCCGGCGGTGGTTGCTGTGGTGGTGGTTGCTGCTGCTGTTGTTGTTGCTGTGGCGGTGGTGGTGGCTGTTGCTGTTGTGCCGCACCAGGTGGAGCATTGACCCCACCATGCTCTCGAGCGCTGGTAAAGTGCAGCGACGAATAGGGCTGATAGGTCGGCAGGTGCGTGTAGTAGGGCTGTGGCCGCGAATGCGGGCCATACTGTGGCTGATAATAGTGCGTGTGCGAGTGCTGGCCAGGACCGGGCCCACCATAGTTGGCATAGCCCATATGTGGCAACGGCGGCGGCAGTCCGGGCATGCCGCCAGGCGGTGGCTGCTGCGGCTGTTGTTGCGGTTGCTGCTGCTGTTGTGGCGCCATGTGCGGTGGCATGTGTGGAGGCGGCGGTCCACCTACATGCGCATGTGGGTGCATTTGTGGAGCTGCTGCAGCTGCCGCTTGCGGCAGCGGTGGTTGCTGTTGGGGTGGCGGCGGCGTAGGCGTTGTAGCTGGTGGCTCATTGCTTAGCGGCGGCGGTGGTGGTGTTGCCGCAGGTGTTGCAGTGGGAGTAGTCGCTTTGCCAGGCATAGTCACCACTGTTGGCGGTGCAGCTTTCAGCGTATCTTTGATGGGTTCGTTCAACGGCACCGGCGGCAAGTCCAGTTTGTCATGCTTCGTTGGCGGCGGTGGCGGTGGCACTGATGGCTTTGGCGATGGTTCAATATCCATGGGCTCCGGGTCTGTTTTGCTGGCCAGCTCATGCACGGGCGCGGGTTGTGGCGGCGGTGGTGCTACGACAATGGGCGGCTTGACTGGCTCGGGTTTGGGAGCAACACTCGCTTCGGGCGCCGGCGGTTGCGCCGGTGGAGGTTGTTGCGGTTGCGGTGCATCCTCTTTGCGATTGGGCCCTTCTTCGATGCGTTGGCCGCGCTTGAAATCCTCGTACATGCGATGCACCATTTTCTGAAATGTGTCCTCGTCCACGGCGGGCTTGCAATGCCGTTTGAGCTCCTCTTGAAAAGCATCGCTCGACTCAAGCATTCGTTGTTTCTTCGCCTCAAACTTTTCCTCCATCTGCTGCAGCTCGGCCTCCAGCTTGGTCTGATGCATTGTCAGCGAGCTAACCTGGCGCTTGAGCACTTGCATCCGCTGTGTGGTTACCACAGAGCGCACATCGGGCACCACAGCTTCTGAGAAGATCTCGTTGATTAAGCGATGGTTGCGCAGATAGCGTGCATAGGCCATATGCTTGGCGGTATATCCCTCATCCAGATCATCTTCATCTTCGGCTGGCTGTATATCGATGCGCCGCTCGTGCTGGCTTTTGCTGCCGCCGCCGCGCGATGGTGTCTCGTGGACATCGGTTGCCTCAGGTTTAACCTTGGATTTGGCAGATATATAAGCTTGGTATGCGGGCGTCTGATGATATGCCTTTAATGCTTTCTCATACTCCAGCTTCTCCACCTCGTACTCGTCTATATATTCGGTTCGCTCGTCTTCGTTCAGTTGTTTCCACATAACGCCAATCTTTTTGCCCAGCTCCCATAACTTCAGTTCCGGATGCTGCGCCTTGACGCTGTCCCACACACGCTTCGAGTAGCGCATATAAGGCAATATGGGTTTCTCTGGTGGCTTCGGTGGCTTTGGTAAGCGCGATTCGCTTTGAGTCTTGCTGCTCGAGGATTTGGTCACTTTCTGTGGCGTAAATGCAGGATTTCCGTAATTACTATGCGTAAATATGGGCGTCTGGTCCTTATTTCTGTCGCCAGCAGCGCCACCGCCAGAGGAACGCGACCGGCTGCTACCACTGCCACCGCCGCCGCCACCGGCCCCGCCGCTGGGTAGCGGTGTTGCCGGCCCTGTTGGTGCCCCAACAGCGATTTGCTTGTAGTTGCTGGGCAGCGCCATGTTTAGTAACATATATGTATAGTTATATTTTTAACTTTTCAGAGTGAATTGCAATTTGCATATATTTCAAGTAAAAACAACAAAAAAAATAGAGGTAAATTCACGCGGACGCCATTGATGGGTTTTTCTCTATACTGAAAATTGGAGATGACACACAACGCGTCACAACAATCGTTTGGCGATAGTTATCGAGCCATTTTAGTGTGCTTTACAGCACTGAAACTTGATTCAATTTGATCAAATGATTTTTTTTATTTTAAAGTTGTGTAACCAATATGAAATAATTTATTTATATATTTACACTTATAATTTTCCATTTACACAGAGAAACAAATTTTGTATTTATTTTTTATTGAATCATTAGAAATATATTATTTAAAATGACATACTTAATATTGCCTTATTTTTATTATTATTACTATTATTTTTTAAGTTGAATATAGTTTTTGAAGTAATAATTGTACAAATTATTTTTTTTACTGAATATCTAAGCTTAAATTATCTTTAAGTGTATTATAACGAATTAAAAGAAAGCTCGAAAGGAACACATATTTGCTCGTTCAAGTGAACTTGTTCTGAACAGAACTTATCAGCTCTAACATCGGTGAATCCTATACGTAATGAGTTAAACAAATTATGAATTTTAGAAATATCAATGTTTTGTAAACAAAACCGCCGTTTTTGAGCAACAATCAGCATATTGTATTTTTTTCCACTTAGACCCGGAATTGTTAAAGCTCTTACTTAATCAGTTGCCTTTCAACACTAGTAGAAAGCAGTAGAAAAAAAATTAGTTTTTTAAATAAAACTCGTATTTTTGGCTTTTACAAATGAATCGAATACGTTTATTTTTACGCGCAGTAGAAGCACTTAAGAATGGTGACCGATACAGACAAATCGCACTGCTTGTGCCACGCAATTTCACACCCTTGACGGCAATCAAGCCCAGCAGCAATACGAGCGGCAAGGAGAGATTAAATTTAAGTCGCGACTGCAGCAACCAGACGGAGCCGGAATATGTTGTAGACAGCGTAACGTATGACCGCGTCTGCTCCGAGACACTGCACGCACTAACCGACTACTTTGAGGAGCTCACTGAAAACGCAACGGACCTAGCCGGCGCCGACGTGATCTATGGGGTAGGTGGGATTGCACGATGCCGATGCTCAAAGTGACTTTTTATATTTGCAGGATGGTGTGCTCAGTGTTAATATGGGTGCAGATAATGGCGTGTATGTGATCAATCGGCAGAAGCCCAACAAACAAATCTGGTTAAGTTCGCCCACAACCGGACCCAAGCGCTTTGACTATGTCGTCCAACCGGGCCAAGCCAATGGCCATTGGGTCTACAAGCATACGGGCGTAACACTTCATGAGGTACTTCAACAGGAAATCACAAAAATCGTTACCAAACAACCCGTGGATTTCATGAAGCTCCCATATTGCAATGGTCATTGATTAATTATAAATTTCATTTGAAATGAAAAGAAAAACAAAAAACTTTTAAAGCTAAACTATAATAATTATGTTTTTTACTTGCTAAAGGAGCCACCCACCACATGGAGGTGTCCAGTAAAGATTTATAAATCAATTTGATTGCTCTAGTTCTCAGCCTATTTTGAGAATTGCAGAGAGGAGCAATCGTATCAGTCTCTTCCGATTCAAACAGTAATTTACATATTTACAGAAATTCCATTTATTTAGACATTTCTTCACTTTGTGCGCAGATTATAAGAAATGTTTTTGAGTTAAAAATTTGTAGTAAATGGCAATACCTTCAAAGATTTAAATATATATACACATATATAACAATATAGACAAGTTGTGCAGCCAGAAGATATAGACAAATATATATATATATATATAATAAGTACTTCAGAGTTTCAATTGACAGCAACGTGCTCAATGACATGGACATTAGAGATTGCTGCAGCAGTAGAGGATCAGCGAGTAGCATGTAGTTAAAGCTCCTTAGCAGCGGAGGCAAATTCATTTGACCTAAATCTTAAATTCTACAGATCCAATGGGCTATGTCACTGGAGTCTGACGCTCCACGATCTGCAGCCCTGGAAGACAAGTTTCTAGGCCTAACGGCAGCATAATTGGCGTATTGCACTTAGGCTAGTTAAATTAATACGTACAACAAAAGTTAAAACTATTTTAAACCAAATTCGATTCATTTTAATTCAATTTATGTACAAATGCGAAACAAAAAAAAAATTGGCTTTATTTGCGTGTGCAGCTTTGACTTGGATTCAGAATTAAATATACTATATATATATATATATATATATATATATATATATATATATATATATATATATTCTGTGTGCTGTACTTGCGCTCTACAGCTAGGGGCGAAAAAAAATGCTTAAAAACTATGCATTTTTGATTTATTTATACAAAATTGGCAGAGCTTGTTGCGGCACATTCAGTGATGTCGGCCGAATATGTTATTGTAGTGCGGCGGCTGCTGCTGCGGCGGCTGTGGCATAAAGTTTGGCGGCATATTATTAAATGGCTGCGGCGGCCCATTGGCCCAGGGATTCATTTGACCCGCATAACCACCGCCGCCGCCGCCGCCGGGTGCTGCGTATGCATTAAAGTTTCCCATATTATAAGGTTGCTGCTGCTGCTGCTGTTGTTGCGGCATCTGTTGGGGCACGTTTGGATAGCTGGGGCCGCCAGACATTTGATCGCCTCCATAGTTATAGTAACTGCCATTGCCAGTTCCTCCTCCACTGCTGCTGCTGCTGCCGCCGCCGCTCCCACCTTCCCCCCCACTGTTGCTGCTAAATTGTGTTGGCTGCTGCGCTGATTGCTGTTGCTGCTGCTGCCGCTGCTGTGTATGACTACGCATTTGCTGATGCTGCTGCTGCTGCGGGTGGTGGTGCTGCTGCTGTTGATGGTGTTGTTGCTGTTGCTGTTGCTGCTGCGGCTGCTGCTGGTGCTGCTGCTGTGATTTGGCAGCGCTGCTTGCCTGATTGCTATTGTTGGTCAGCGTGCCCATCAGATTGGCAATTATGTTCTCAGTGTCCTTCAGCGAAATCTTTGGAGCCGCCGGCTTGAAGGTAAGCGCATTGGGTGACATTGCCGCCGGCACTATGGGCAGCAGGGTTGTGGGCTTCTTCTTGCCATTCGTATCGTTGGCCTTCATCACCAGATCATCGAAATTGTAATCATCGTCGTCGTCATCATCCAGTAAGAATTTTGGCGAATTTCGAACTTCAATGCGGCGCTGCAGCTTCGCCGCCGAGGACAGCTCACGCTCTATGCTCTTGCGACGAGCTGCAGCAGCCACAGCAGCACCAACACCACCGCCACCAACACCGCCACCACCAACACCAACACCCCCACCACCACTACCAAGTGGCAAGCGACAGCTATTGGCAGCGCGTTCATGCAAGCCAGGTCGACCGATGGCAACGACACGAGACAGATAATCGCTGCACGATTCGCCATCGCTGCTCAGCTCGGCAATGTTCACGTATTTGCGCAATCGCTCCACGCGCGATGGCTCCAATTTCTCCAGCTTTCGCAGATGGCCAATGAGATGCACCTGCTCCTCGTTGGATAGAAACTTGAAGTTCTGCAGCAGCGTCTGCAGATCGGAATCGGTGAGCGATTCCATGCTGTTGCTATCGCTGGCGATTGTCTTGGGCGCCAAATCGTTGCCGGCCTCCTTGGCCAGCTGATGCTCCACCTCCTTCATCAGCTCACAAATATCAATGTCCAGCACACCGCCGACGCCACTGCCCTCATTGCCGTCACTATTGTACTTGTTTTTACTGGTAGCCAGTCCCAGGCGGAGCGGCACCTCGGCAAAGCTGAGCCCGCTATTCCTGTCGCTCAGGCGACGGCTGTGATTCGTCTTCACCAGCAGCGTGAAGAAGTGCAGCAATTTGCTCATATCATCGGTGCTCAAGTTGTCCATGCCATTCATGACCAGTTCGCTGGCCAGCTTTGACGAAACGAGCTGCCTATCGAAGGGCAGCTGATAATCTTTCTTCTTGGCCAAATCCGTGTGCTTTGGCTCATGGTGCGACGCCTCTTGAACACCTGGTTTATGGTGTGTGTGTGTGTTTTTTTTTGCGTGGGTGAAAAGGAAGGAGCAACATAAAAACAACATTAATACAGTTACGATTGCAATCAGAGTTTACGAATTGAATTGTCTTTGTTCAAAATCAAAAGCAAATACAAAAACAAATTAACTTATGTCTTACATACAATTCATACTTGAGAGATGAGGCGAAGGCGACGCTTCCAGCTGATTGCGACATGGCACTTAACCGGGACGTTTGTCCTTTTTTTCGTTTTTTTTCCTTTTTTTTCTTTTTTTTTTTTTCTTTTGTAATATTTTCCATTTTTATAAACACTTTGAGCACTAACCTGAAGGACGCTGAAGCGGAACGTAACACTGAACCGAGAGAGAGAGCCCACACAATGCTCCCGAAATAGCAACTCTTAACGGATCACGTACAGTTTGCATATAGTTCAAATACCGTCAGATATATACTATATGCAAACTTGTTCTACGAATTTTTTAAATCATGTTTTTTCCTCATATTTTAAAGACATCAAATTCAAATTCAAATTCAAATTTAAACATTTTTTAAAATTTTATTTTATATTTCAGTTCAAAAAAAAAAAAAGGAATAAATGATGCGAAAAAACGTTATCAATATGATAAATATAGCAGCTAAAAACCACATTTATCTTATAAAATTCTTAGCTCAAGCTAACGAGAAGCTCTTGAAAGATTTTTGAATATATTACATCAATCAGACGTAATATTTTGGATCAATTTGAAACATTTCCACGAACTGGGTTTCTTTTATTAATATAAGAGTTATCGATAACGCAGTAATCGATGTTTATTAGTGCGAATATCGATCAAATTGGAAGAGGCATGTTGATTAGGAATATATAATAGGCATGGACCAATAGCTAATGATAACTTACAGTAAAATTACTTATAGCATAGTTCCCGAATTACACAGAATTCAAGACGATTGGCAATAATTCATAGTGAAGCCCGAACGTAAATTGAAAGTCACGCGAAAACTAAAAGTTGCAACTCCTTACACATGTATATATAAAGCAAGGGCAAGGTAAATCGAACAGATGGCATAAAAGATCTTAAATATTTCCACATCACCAAGAGGATTGGGACACGTATTCTCGGGTTTCTCGGCTCTTGGCAGCAAAAATATTCAGCCCAACTGTGCGCAACTGTCTGAGCAACCTTTCCCAGCACGCCATATTCCGGTAACGAGCAAACACAATACTTACCCGCGTCCCGGGCTTACGGACTGGCGTCTGGAAAGTGAAAGGATTTGTTTTGGATATCGTATGGAACTTACCTTTGGAGGTCACCTGGAAGATGATGGTCGCTATATTGCTGATTAACTTTTTCACAACGCGCACTTTTTGTGGATCGTCGAGCACTGCGGCAATGAGTATACCCTTTAGCTTCTCCTTGATGGTCTCCATGAAGACGCAATTGTCCTCGTTCAATAACAAATCGTCGGCAGCGTTCGGCTTGATCTTCTCCATGGCCAGCGCCTTGCTTAGCAAATTTAGTGCCTTGGGGCCCAGACTGCCCAACTGATCCTCTAAAGCGGATAGCATGCGCAGCACACTAACCACGGTCAGTGGACCCTCTGGCTCTTCGACTTGCTCCGGTTCTTTGACCGTATTCGATATGATTGTGCCCGAAGGCGACGAGGAACGCTGGCTGGGTTGGCTATATTCCGGATAGAGACGTGAGTCAAGCACCCGGAATGTCTCTATGGGCTCGTAGGTACGCGTGGAGCGCGGATAACTGTCGCTCCTCTCCCTATAGTATTCACCGCTTCTCTCGCGACCCCTGTCACTGTAGTCGTCGTGGCCGCGTGAATGCAACGATCTCTCCCGGCCCCGACTGTAGGGCGAACGTGATCGCCGGTGGGGAGAACGCGATCTGGAGCGCGAACGTGGCCGCCGTCTGGCGTTCATGGGTGATCGTGTGCGCGAACGCCGACCCAAGCGCGGCGGCACCAGCCTGCCACGTTTGGGCGACAAGCTGCGCGACACGGAGCGTGCATAGTTTGGACGGCGACTGGAGCGTGTCGATGGTGCAGCTGGTGGCTGCTGTTCGTCATCGCTGATATCAATGACAGCATCGCTGCCAATAGACCTGCTGCTCGCTCGAATACTGGAGCCACGATAGCTGTTCTTGTGACGCCCAGCACCGGCGCCAGCGCCTGAAGCGGCGGCTCCTCCAATTTCGTTATTTTTGGGGCTGCTGACGCGTATTTTGTAACGCTCCATTAGTTCCTTGGTGTTCTCTTCGTCCTCATCGCCAAGCTTAAATTTCTCCTTTAGCTCCTTTTTGATCTTGTTGACGGCTATGTTGAACAGCTCGACCCGCCTGTCCTTCCAGTACGTGATCCATTCGGGCTTGTAGTCGTAGCTATTCGGATCACATTTCTTTTCCTCTTGCAGCTGCTTATAGCGCCGATTCCAGAACAGCTTCCACTCTTCGGAATAATCGGGATGCTTCTCCGGATTCGACTCATACGTCTCCGTCTCGTCGCGCAGCTGCTTCAGCTGTAGCTCCAACAGGCAGCGAAATTTCTCCCATTTGTAGCGCTCCTGAGCTATATGCGATGCCTGCAATGAGAGCTCCTTGGGTGTGGGCAGCTGCTGTTTGATACTCGCCGATGACGGAGTCTTTCCGCCAATGGCCGCCACATCTTTGCCCACAGGCGGTGAACGATTTACGGCACGATATGCCGGCAGTTGCTCGTCCTGTTTTTTGCGCGCCTTTTTTGGCATCTGCTGTGATGCATTAAGAGCAAAATTATCATCGTCATCGCTGGAAATGGCATCGAGTGCTATTGTCATGGGCTCAGCGTTGCGATCATTTTGGTTCAATTTCGCCTTGAGCGAATCCGTGGGCTTCAGGTCCAGTACTATTTGACGCACCTCGTCCACGAAATCGGCGCCGGCGCATTCATCGAAATGGAACTGATCGCGTACCTGTGAACAAATTTTGGGACGAAAGCGACGAAAATCTTCGCCGTCAACAGCCAAATGGTGTATGCTGCGCCCATAATGTTTCTCAATGAGTTGAACCAATTTTGTTGTGGCTGTGCTCAAGTCGTTGGCATTGCTGGATGAGCGGCGCAGCTGCTGCAGCTTATCGAAGGCCTTTTGAAAATGTGTCTTCAGATAGTTGGTACGGTGGGTCAGCGAGGTCCAGTGTGTGAATATGGAACGGCTGTCGTTGCACGTGTTGCAGAGCACACAAAAATAATCGGGATGCGCTTGGCCGTTCTCGTGCAGCTCCACCACGTATTCGGTACCAATTAGAGAGCCACTTTTAAAGCTATCAATTTGCTTCTGTATCACCGATGCTCGCGCCATTTCATCCTCAAATCCAGGCGGCACCGGCTCGCTTCCTAAATAGCTCATCTCCTGTTAAATACCTCTGCAAAATGGGAGTAATTAATGTCTAGTGTCTTTGTTGCAGAGTTGGACGCATGTCGTAAGGCGAAAACAAGCGCAGTTCAATAAGGTTCTATACTAGGCTCCCAACAAGATATCCGATTGCCATGGAAACTGCATGTTGTATACTACTGCGATTAGTGGAGCGACATACACTTAAACAGTTAATTAAATTCGAAATCCAGACAAACAGCCGTTTGTGTCTTGAATATAATATGCAACATAACGGTCTTTTCATAGTTCATTAATTTAATGCTCATTGAGAATGTATACGTCATGTGTCCTGTCCCCTAGAGTTCAATGAATTTTGTATGCTTTATCGAATATAGTTTGCGACACGCGCCCATCTCTAATAGCAAAACAATAGAGCCGATTGGCAAATTACCTGATCCTCAGTTTGGCAGTGTTTCCTCGATTTGGTGCACTATCTAGCTGGCTATGTTTGTTATGCACTGATTATGACACGAAAAGAAACAAGACAAGTATGCACACACCACACGCACTCACAAATACACATTCATATACAAAAGACGCACAATTTCAAAGCAGCGGCTATTTTTTTCTTTTTTTATATATTTTTTACCACAACAAAACGTCGACGTCGTTTCGCACGGTCCACGGAAAGCGATTTATTGTAAATATCTTTACTTACAGTGCTTGTTATGGTTGTTCACTTACAATATGCATAATGTCAAATGTATTGGCAACACTATATTTTTTCACTATTGTTCCCAAATAATTGAAGCATGCACAAAAAAAATTAAGGAATAGAAATGAATAAAAATGAACGTAATTCAAGTGTAGTCAAATATCGCATAAAAGCCTCAGTGTTGGTAATTCCTTGGCAATAATTGTTGATTTGCAAACTATCGATGGGTTGCAATTTCGATAAAATAACAACGTTGGCGGGCTAATCTACGAATTTGAATTACATACCGATTGCAATAAATAAGTGGTAATTTAGAGATTTATATTTTAAAGATACATGTATATAAAATAATTATTTAATGATATACAGATATTAAATAGAATAGTATCATAGTTCATACACATAATAAAGAAATTCCTAAGAATTATATGTGCCTGATTGAAAGACTGGATTAGGGTGTGCTTGATTCATGTATACATAAATCAATTACAAGAAATCTGCCGCATGTTTTCAATTGACTTCGCCTGTGGGGTGGCCCACACCTGCTGCTGACAATATCTCAAAATGTTGCTTTGTAATCATCGCCCTACAACATTTTGATAAACTTGCTGCAGCTTAATTCGCAATGCTTTCGAAAATGCGTTAATGCTTCATACATACACACGTACGTATATAATTACATTTTTGTATATTATGAAGTGTGGTGGTAGCCAGCACCAGCATGGCAGACAAATGGCAAATGGGTGCCACAGTCCACGTCCCAAAACAATTTCACACCCACCCCAAAAAATAAAGACGAAAAGAAACGCGGCAGGCGACGTGCGCGCTGTGATAGATGTATCACGTACATACATTCCATATCTGAATAGAGAAGGGCCGCATTAATCGCAACATGATGATGATAATGGCAATATAAGCGACTATACAATGAGCTGACCATATGCGCACATAGACAATAAAATGTGAAGCTGGTAGAACTGGTGCAACAAGCATCAGCAGCAGTAGGACCAGACGGGTGGGCAGACATTCAGTTCGCATTTAATGAACACAACGGTGACATGAGTTATGGGCCATTTTTTTTTTGACAACGAAAAATTGCGAATCAGCACAGCTGTTGGCTCTGCGGTGAGGTTGCGCCTAGGCCAGCGGAAAACACGGGGGAAGCAGCAGCAGCAACAGCAGCAGCAGCAGCCGCCGCCACAGCAGCAGCGGTAAGGGACATTTCGACATCGGCATGAATGCAAATGCTATTTTGCATTAACATTGCGAATGAACATGGGGCAAAGCCGTCGTGCTCAACCAAACTCAAAAGTCCTTCCGTCCGTTCGTCCGTCCATTTGCCCGCCACGCTGATGAAGATGAGCGCATTCCGATTACAGTTAACACAGACAGAGGGAAGACAGTGACACCCCTTCAAATACGTATCCGTAATTCGTATTCGAAATCGGCCTCCGATGTGTGTGATATATGCGCATAATATGTTCCTTTAGACAAAGTGGCAGACACCCAGACACATCGTTTGATCATGCTCTACACGAAGTCCATTATAGTATTTCCATGAAGTTTGTTTAGCTTTATAATACGCACATGAACTACCATGGAAATCTGATTGTTAAATTTGATATGTTCCAAATCTAAAATCTAAAAAACTTCGAATTTGAATCAGCTTCACAAAATCCTTCGGCTATGGCCTAGCTTCGATCCAACTTCAGCTTCAACTTAACTAGAATATGAGAGTTTTTTTTCAAACAGAATGCCATTTCATAGCCATTTCCTTTCCACTTTCAGGATAACGCCTCCTTCCTATTATCAGCTTAATCTTAATCTTCTATGTTTTTTCAGCAAAAGTTTGAAGCTTTTCAGCATTATAGGAAATATGTTTGAAACACATAGGAGAATATTGCATAAAATTGGTCATCAGGAAAATATTAAAATAATATTAAAAATATTTAAAAAAGTATTTTGATTTAAATATTTATATATTTTATATTTTAAGTTCTTTTAAATACTTTTATTAAATAAATTTATTAAGAAAAAACAAATTAATTTTAATTTAATTATTTATTCATAAATTGTTAAAACTAATTTTTAATGAATTTTATTTATTTCTTTTAAATATATGTGTCAAAAATGATTTTGTTCTTATATTTCTTAAATATGTTAATTAAAATATTTACTCGAATATTTTATTTTTATCTTTTAGTTAAAATATTTAGTCATTTATTTTTTAAAAATATATTTTGAAGGTTTTTTTAATACTTCTTTTAAGCATGTTTTTTTTTTAAATTTATTTTAAAAAATATTTTGTTGTAATATATTTTTAAAAAATATATTTTTTAATATTTTGTTTTGATAAATTTTTTGTTTACATTTTTGAAAATTTTTTTTATATATTTTTATTTTCAATACATTTTATTTTATATTTTTATTATCTAAATTTGCAATTTAAACATAAAATAGAAAAATGATTTTTTGTTAAATAGATAAAGATCCATACATATATCTATATTTATATATATTATATATTTATATATATTATATTTATATATATATATATTTATATATATATATTATATTTATTTATATTACATTTATGCATATTTCACTTGCAAATTTGCAGTACAAGCAACCATCTGTGTCGCATATTTTATAGGGTATTCGAAGGTACGTCATGAATGCAATTGATGTAATTGTTGCTTTGTTGTATTTTTATAGTTATTGTTGGTGTTGTAGCCGCTGCTCGTTGCGCCACGTCTCGATAGACATTTCTTGGCAAGTTGTGTGCAATTCATTAAGCGAATTCTGCCCGAATGCGAATAATGCAAATTGCTCTATTTCGGGCTAACTGCAAAAACGGCAACAACGACGACAAATTTATTTTTTGCGGCCCATGTGGCATGTGGCAACTGGCAAAGTGGCAACGTGGCAAGTCCAAGCAGCGCAACTTCCATCAATGAAACGAAATGTAACGAAATGAAATGAAATGAATGCCGTGTGTTATGCAGACTGAAGAAGCATTTGCACTAAAAGTTCAAAAATTCCATTAATTACTCGCGCTCTCTCTCTCTCTCTCTATCTCCCCTCTCTCTCTCGATCTACATATAGGAAACCTCTTCAACTGCTGCTTCTTCTTTTCTTATTTGTCGAGTGCTAATTTTTAAGAATTTGAAATTTTCTTAATGGATTCGTTGTGTTGCCGCACGGATTGAGAAATAGTTTCGTCGTTTGGCTTGGGAATCAAGAGTTTTTGACTTTCGCTCAGCTTCTTCTTCTGATTTTTTAACCCTAAATTGTGTCTGCTGTACATGCATATTATTGCCACCCCTCGCTGGACCGGATGTGCTCATTGTGCATCATCATCAACAACTACTTATCACCCAGGGGAATATGCAGCTGCTGCTGCTGCTGCTGCTGATGCTGTTCTCGCTCCCAATCCAAAAGTCCAACTCTAACTCCCAGTTGCAGTCCGAGTTCAAACTTTTGTCGCATGCCTTCAAAAATGCGTAAATCAAACTAAAAACAAACGGGCAACGGCTTGCCCATGAATTAGTATTAGTGTAAAACGGCTTTTAATAAGCCGGACGGACGCTCGGACTGAGGAACGGACTAACGGACGGACGGCCTAAGGCCCGCATCTCTATCCGCAGCCATTGCATGTTGGGCGCCATTAAGTGGACCAGCGAGTAACGGGGCTTGGGCATCCGGCATCCAACGACAAAGTCAATTGCGGTAGCCGCAAAATGGAATTTTGTTTTAAAAAGTTCTGCACTGCAAAATGGCTCGCAATGGGCGCATAAATTTCAAAAGCCCTTCTACACTTCTCCGTTTTTTTACCATATCGGGCACTACCATTCTGTCAGAAATGATGTGACCCTTTGCTAAAGATACATCAGTTGATATGTCTTATATAACATATTTATATATATCTGTCAAAGACATTGATCAGGCTGGTTTCTATATCATGGGATATGGATATATATATATATAAATTGAAAATGTAGTTTTAAATTAAATGAAATGAAAATTAATTTTAAATAAATTAAATAAAATTAATATCAATTTGATATAAAAAAGAAATGCTTGATTTTGATACTCCATCTAGCAGTTCCTTCTTATACCATGACTTCTTTAATATAAGCTTTATTTTAATAGAACATTTGCATCGTAGTACTAAGATCTTCTATGGCTATGGTCCTATGGCAATCAACGCACAGAAATCAAATTTTTATTTATAATACTTTTTATTTATAATACATATATTTTAACTATATCTTGAATTTCTGCACATGTAATCTCTAGTATATTATACTTAGTATACCTGGTTATCCTATGCCTTTCCAGTTATTGTATTAAATCATAAATTATTTACAATGTTCTTGAATGTCAAGTATTTATCTGAGCCAATATCAGAGCTTTAGCTTTTAGGGTATTCAAGTAATGCCAATTCGATGCATCGATATTTATCGATAGTAAGCAACTGACAATGCGCTTTTATCAGAAAGAGGCAGACGATATATTCTCTTAGAATCGCAGTACTACAGACTATATTTTTTTATATATATATCAGATATCTTCCATTATGCATTGAAGGCAAATAAGGCTTTGCTATAAAAGCTCCCCAAAGTTCCCATTCGCTTCGTCAGTGTATCGCATATTCGTAGTGCTGTCGCCCAGTGCTTCCCTTTTGTATTTTTTATTTTGTGGTTTTTAGTTATAGCCATAATCTTTGTGTAGTGGCGAATCCCATAACTTTCGCAACAAGCTGGCAACGCTGTTCGGAAACTATTAATTTGAAATAAATACAGTATATATCATTTGAAATGGCTCAAAGGTGGTTTTCAAATGTTTTTTCCCTCTCCCTAATACCCAGTCATAATTTAGAACGTATTTAAAACTAGATTTAGCAGCAGTAGCAAAATGAGCGAAGATAGAGAGGGAGACTTAGGTTAGTTCAAAGTGATATATGGCCCAAAGGCAGCAATATCAATGTATTACTATTAGCGCATAAAAGTTGGAAAACAAATTATGCGCCTTATGGCAAAGCGAAGAAAAACAAAAGTTTCAGAAGTATTAACGAGTATGTCGGACATCGGGTCGCTGCATGCTTAGATAACTGATCTATGTATTTTGTTGTTTCTTTATTTTCTTTTTGGCAATTTCAAACATGCAACATGTTGCAATGGAGTTATAAAGCAGCCCCGAATTTCAAACTTTGCAGACGACTTATATAAGCAGTGTACATAGACGTACAGGGGCGGGATGGGCGTGTATAAGGGCAGCATGCCAAATGGAAAAAAGTTTTTTTTTGCCTTAATTTTTGGCGTTTTTATATTTTTGTTTTTTTTTTTTTTTTTGCTGCTTTTTGTTTTGTATACTCTGCCGCTTTATTAACATTGCCCTGTTTTAGTAGGGGTGACCTGTTGGGTAGGCCACGTCGGAGGGGGCTGTGGAGGGGGCTGTGGAGGGGCTGTTTGTTTGCTGGCAGCAGCGCAGTAAGTAATATTTTTGCCGCATAAAAGTCAAAATATGCAAATAAAGCTGCCACCGCTGCCGCTGCTGCTGCTGCTGCTGCTAAGGGGTGGGTTGGAGGGCACACAAGTAGCGTGTTAGGGAGGAGGTAGGGGCAGGGAAAGAGCGAAGGGTGAGTAGGGAGGGGAGGGGGCTAATATAGAAGCAGTCAGACACAGAGACACAAGCCGAATGGCTAGAACAATGTGCATATAGATCAGAGAATCGGAGAGAGGCAGGGGTGATGGGGCAAGCCGAGCGAAAGAGAGAGTGAGAACAGCGTGGCTTAAATAATAAATGTAGTACACGCTTTGAAAGAATTTACTATGCTTTGGCAAATGGAAGTTATAAAAACCAAATACAAGCGCACACACACACACACACACGTTCACTCAAACACATTTACACACACAAGCACATGTGCATGGCATATAAATAAACAATGCTTCTATATAACCCGAGGCAAGCCGATGTAGTGGAGAGGTAGCGGCATTTCCATATTGTTGCTATAATCAGCGGCTGCTTTGATTCATCTGCATGCACGCGCGATGCCGGGACATTGAAGCAATTGGGCGTGGAATGGGGAGAGATCGGGAGGGGAACATTACCACCACCAAGTCAAAGCCATAGCTAAAGCTAAGTCCAAAGCCTTAGCCCGGTGCCAGCCACCCCATCATCATAATGATCATCATTATCATCATCATAATCATCAAAGTCAGCCCAACTGGGCGAAGCAACCACCAAACCGTCACACAGACTCCGTTGACTCCGTTGGCCCAACTTCAACTCCGACTTTTAGCTGTTCCCTGCAATCTAGTGCTGCACAAATTATAAAGCACGATACAGCACGACACGAAATTAGTTGGGCAAACTTTCGACATTGATCTATACTGGGATCAAATACTATGCTAGTTGTTATAGATTTTCGTATTGCCAACTCATTATTATTCGAACTTCGTCATTATTTTACACAACAAATCAAATAATTTGATTTGTTTATTATTTGGGTCTCTCGGCGATAAATAATCACGACCCGCTCGCATTACTAATGTCGTTCAAATTTTGTTTCAAACATGTTCGTGTTCGGTGTTGGAAATCGTGTTCGAACAACAACCACTGACTGACGCCCCTTTTCAGTATGTGCGGCAAGTGCTGATTAAACTGGCCGTGGCCTTGCTAACATATGTAGCTAGAAAAAGCTAAGTTATTAATAAAACTCAGCTAAAATAAACGTTTTAATTCATATAGTATAATGTTTTAATAATAATATATATGAAGCTGGTTTTTATTTCTTTGTATTCAATTGTTTTTACATAGTTAATATATATATACAATTTATCATATTTAGCATAGAACTGTACAAAATTAAGGAAACAATTAGTTATATATATGTATATATGTTTAAATTAACCAATATTACTTTTAACAAGCAAGCTATTTAGAATTGCGGTAAGCAAATTATTAGGCATCTCATTAAGTGTATTGCAACAAAAAAACGTGTTCCGTTGGCCAATAGTAAAAGAAAATAAGCTAAAATATAGCCATTTTGTGGCTGTAGCAGCTGTGTGTTTAGCAGCCCTTTCTTTACTCTGCTCTCTGGGACTCTGTGTGCGTTCGTGTGTATGACTGCGCTGTGTCTCTGTGTGCGATTGTGTGTGTGTGTGTGTGTGTGTGTGTGTGTGTGTACTTGTGTGTTATCTCGCAGCCTGGTTCTGGTTCAGTTTTCGTTTTCCGTTAGTGCAGCATTTATCCTCGACGACGTTGGTTGGCCTCGCCTTCGCCCTCAGCCATTGTCACTGCCGCTGTCGCAGTCGAAGTCGCAGTCGTTTGTCGCCTTGTCGCTGGTGTTGTTATTTATTCGTGTGTTTTTTTTTTGTTTTTTTGCTGCTTCTGCTGCTGCTCTTGTTGTGTGTGCACGTTTTATTTATTGTTGTCGTGTGTTGTTTGTTTGTGTTTTTGTTATGGTGCCAGTGCCAACTTACCTGATATAAAAAACTCAAACAAGGTGCGCAGACCTGGAGTCAGGGCCACGGCACATGTTGTTAGTTAAACCAGCGCCCCAAAACGCTTGCCCCCGTCCCTTCATCAGCCCGGGACACTAACCAATAAGTAAACCTCAACAGCAACGGCAACAACAACAAAACCAGGCAGAAACGTAAATTCGAAACGAAACTAAACGACGCAAACGAAAGCCCACGCATCACAGTAATAGTTACAGTTACTCTCTGCGTGTATCAATCGCAGCATGCTTTTAGCTGAAGCACAGTTATTGCGGTTCTTGTTGTTGCTGCGGCAGCCAAAGCTATAAGCAATCGCTAAATCACAACACAAAACGGCAAACAACAACAACAGGAAGAAGAACAACAAAACAAACAAACAGAAATACACAGAACGAGCTGCGTCCGCTGCTTCACTAAATGCAGTCGACGTCAATGTTGACGTCGCTGTCGTCACAGTCGTCGCGTATTATGGGCCTAACCAAACAGCAACAGCAAAAGCAACAACAACGACAACTTCAACAGCACTTGATACAAAAATAAACAAACAAAATCAATCAATTAATCAATCTGTGAACGCCCCAGGCGTACGCCCTCGCTCTTGTACACCCACGCCCACGCCCACGCTCACTTTAAACTGCAACAGCAACAGCAACAACTACAACAACAAGGATAAGGACAAACAGAGATACAACAACAACAATGTTCCAGTCAATTGCATTAGTGCTCGTCCTGGTTGCCGCCCAGTCTCTGGCACAGGCTCCGAAGGATGCGAACAGAAACGCTGCTGCTTCTGCTGTCCAGCTGCAGGCAACAGAGACACAAGCGGCGACGGCGGCGGCAGCAGCAGCAGCCGCAGCGGCTGCAGCGACGCCATTCAGCAGCAAGCAGCTAACCAGATGCCGCCAAAGCTGCTATCAGCAGGTAAGCCCGGCTCAGGCCACTAAAGATAAGACGCACTTGATGGACACTTGTATGTACGCTCGCTCGACAGCGCCGAAAGATTCTCGAGTGCGACTTCAAGGTTAGAGGCACTGGCTGTGGCTGTGACTGTGACTCTAGCAACAGCCCCTTCCACCTCGTCCAGTTGGACAATGACAATGGGTCTGACAGACAGCAAAGGGCAGCGGCGGCAGTGGGAATACAGTTTTATACACTGTTCATAAACTGAAATGGGGTATATTTGATTGATGGCACAGCAGCTAAGCAATTGAAGTATGGGAAGCAAATACGCATGTTCCCCTTCATGTTTGCATTAACCTGTTTAATTATGTCAGCCACGCCCATTCAGCATGCAGGCAGCGCAGGCTAAAAGTTAAAGTCAACAACAAACGTTGCGGTGGCTTGACATCGACATTCCTTCAACTTTATTTGACATTTGAATATGTGACGTTTGAAAGTCCCGAAATATAACAGTTTTGGGATCTACAGTCTTGTATTAGTAGTAAAGAGGAGCGCGTGACACGCTCTACTCACGACTTATGAACAACTTTACAGTTGGCAAGTGACTGGCGAGGCATTACAGTTTTTTACATTACATTACAGTTTTTTTGTCTAAAAGACTCTTTATTAGCGTAACAGATGACATCGTGACACGCTCTAATCACGACCCATGAGCAACGATCTTTCACAAAGTCACAGTTGGCAAGTCATTGGCCGTAGTCTAAGACTCCATTGTGAGCACAGAGTTTTCTTGAGCTGTTTTAAGCAGAGTATGAGGAAGTCGTTGCTACGCGTCTGGAACGTTCTTTACTCGTTTCTTTTTTTATGTGGCTGCCCGCCTTTATCTGTTAGCTGACATCGCTGTCGCTGCCGCTGCCGCTTATGCCGCTGCTTCTCAGGTAGCTGCCTCTGTCAGTTGACAATGTCAGCTGGGTGGTCCACGCCAGTCATAGTGCTGCTAATAGAGATTAGGCAACTGAAAACTGAAAACTGGGAGGGAGATCAAGAAAGGAGCCACAATGCCGCAAGGGCAATTGGGTGTGTTGTCAAGCATCGAGCAGGGGACCGGACGACTTGAGGGTTGAGCACAGAAACTTATTTTATTGAATGACTATGAAAACTAGTATTCAAATGTACTTAACATGTAAAAAAACAACGGAAAGACAAAAAACAATAACAAAAACGAGTCCAAAATTATAAAGTGAAAACAGGAAATGGTAAGAGCAGGGAAACCCAGTAGCCAGATCTCGCTGCGAGTCTACCAGATAAAGCAGGGTTCAGTGAAGGATCACGATCTTCGTACATAATTTGCCTTAGCTATTTAGAAAAATAAGAATACTAATAATACTGACATAACAGCATACATATGCGACTTAGTAGGCTACAAATACGAGTGCTACAGTCGGGAGAGCCCGACGGGAAGACACCCTCACTGCGCTGATATTTTAAAAGCGAACAAAATGATAAATCGTACTGCTTGCGGTATTTAGTAGTATATATCTCACATTTGAAGCATCTAGTTTCGTTTATACGGACGGACTGACTTGGCCAGCTTGTCTCAGCTTGTGGTCCTGATCGAGATTATGTAGCTTTTAGAGGGTCTGCCACGCCTTCTTCTGCCTGTTACATACATTTTCACTAAACTTGTATTTTATTTTATTCAGGGCTATATTCCCTGATAAAAGAAAACTCTTAAGATTTGAATTCATTTGTCGCTTGCGTAGCTTAAACTTATAGTTCTATGTAGTCAAAGTCTGCTTCCAATTAGTCTTATTAATATGTACACCGTATATTTAAAGACTAGCTAAAATTGCCAAACAGAAATGCTATTTAATAATGTTTTAATTGTTAATTTTGAGAGCTGTCGAAAGTTCTGCTCTGTCTGTGATATGAGCAGACAAATGTTGACACATTACGTGATTGAAACAAATATGAATGCTGTTGTCGGCGCGGCAGTGCTCAACTAGTAAGATATCCTGCAGCCAGTGCTAGACAAGTTCCAACTTTCATAATTCTCTCGAAATTAAGGCGATTGTTTTTTAACTAATCTGAATTGAGACAGCATCTAAATTGTAGTCGCATTGCTAAAAATGCAAAGGCTTTTGACTGTGCCCCAAAGTTACTCACTCGAAATGTGGCTTGGTTGAAAGTAAGATTAAATTGTAAAACATTTCAAATGTCGAATGAATCAATTATTGTGATCCATATCATTTTTGCTAGTTCTAGTTATACTAAATTTTCAATTTATGGGGCAGGCATCGAGAGTACCAAGTTTTTGAAGGCTTCTAAACTATAATCATAATTCGATGAAAACTTTTTAAAATGAAAAACAATCTACTATGATAATTGGTAGCAACATCGATACTTATCGATACTTATGCCCTCATCATCTGCTACACACAAGCAATATACCCCATTGAAGCGAATGCAAGCGGTGCTCAGGGCCTGTGTGTGTGCATCTAATGGAAGAGGAAAATTTCTGCTGATTGCCATTGCGTTAATTAATGCAATTTATTATTATGAAATGTGAAATAATGTAACTTTGAATGCATTATTTTGTGTGTATGTGTGTGTGTGTGCGTGTGAGTCTGAATGGAAGTCAATGCATTATTTGTTGTCGCATAATTTATTAATTTATTAAGCATTATTATGTAGGTTAACCAATTCAATCCGTTTGGCTTTCTCTATTTGCATTTCGTTCAGAAATCTATTTAGCATTCAGCAAGAATAAAAAAGAAACGTAATTAAATCATTTCCTTGATAAAATGTGCCTTAGCATGTGGCTTAGCTTTAAAATAAAAATTTAATTTTGTATTTTCAAAGTTTCTTCATCAGTTCGTTTATCTGTAATATCAAAAGGTATACAGTCACAATTCGCATTAGGTCCAAGTTTTCAGATTTAATATAGTGAAAAAAAACGGTAAATCTTCCGTGTCAACTGGAACCGAAGCGATTCGATTTTGGGCATCGATTCGCTCGATGTCACGATCCAGCTTGGGGGTTCACAAATGCAATCGGTTGACCTCTAAGGGTTGCGACTGCACGGCCATGTGCATTGCGGGCTAATTTCACGCCTGTCCGGCTCTAATCCCCGGCACAGGACGTACGTCGCTCAATCAGCGCCAAATTAACACCATAAAACTTGGCAGCCACCAAAGATTTTGTGCCATTGTAATTTGCCTGCCTAGTTTTTTGGGGGGTGTGTGTGTGCGAGTGTGTGTGTGTGTGTATGTGTGTGTGTGTGTGTATTAAGAACTTCAGTCTGTCGCGCGTTGTCTGTCTCTGAGTCAGAGAGAGCTTGTGACCCAGACTCCGTTGCGATTCGTAATGCCAGCTGCGTATGCTGAGCACGTAGCCTTTGGCTGGTGGTGGAATCTGTTCCGACGGGGCTTCAATAATTGACAAGCGCAGCATTTGGCGACTACGTGCCACACACAAAAAAAAGAAATAATAATAAGAATGAAAAAGTGGTCAATGGGCATTTGCAATAGGCATTGGCAGCAGATCCAGCACCAGCTACAGCTCATAAAACTGCCTCAAAACTGACCTGGATGGGTAATTTATGTGGCCTGGGTGTGAAGCGATGTCCAATTCCGTGGGCAATTGCATGTAAAAGTTGTTCGTTGCCTGCGTTTAATTTATATCGGCCAACAACTATGCCAGGTAGCCCACAAGGAGACGCTCGAACGGGCAAGGGCGAACGAAACGGTTTGGCTTGGGACGGTCTATGTTCGTCTGGAGTTTGCCTGGCTCAGCGTTTTCATTGAGCGTGTGGTGCGTTCGCTTCATTCAATGCCTGGCTAGAGCCGGCAGCGTGACACGCACGACGCACTGAGCACATCATCTATATATGTATATAACGACTGATTTTGCGATGTAGATAAATGTGATGGGATAAACCAAGCAAATCGAAACTAAATAAATTAAAAATGCAAAGAAAGCACTTAGAAGCAATAGAAACATATCCATTTAAATATCGACTATATATATATTGTGTAGAGCAAGAAGATACATTGAAAAAAAAGAATATATGTAAGATGGGGAAAAGTAGATTAGAAGAAGCTGAAGAAATCAAAGTGTTTTAAACCCAAAAACTAAACGCCTAATTACGGAGCCCATATCCTATCCATGACATATATATATATCTTCAAAAACTCATGACAGATTTGCCTACAGTTAGAACGCCAATCAACGCTAATTTCGGGTACAAAAAAAAAAAACAATATTTAAATTAAAACATAAGAAGATAAGTGATTTATCTAGAGCAGCAATTGTAATGATAAGCTCCAAAAATATATAAAGAAAAGCCAATGGATAAACTGAATATATCCAATTAAGCTCACTCAATCACGCAACGATTCATATTGTATATATATATATATATATATATATATATATATATATATATATAAATATATTGAATTGCCAATGACAATTAGGCTAACGACTTTGAGGGGCAATCAAATCACGTTGCCATCTCTAATTGATATTGCCAGTGGCATTCATTCACTCATTCGCTCATTCATTTGCCGCCTTATTGTTGTTACTTATCGCCCAAGTTGTTTCGCAAAGGCCAAAAATTCAATTGAGCGGAAAATATGTTGTCTTTGCGATTTTCCTTTTGGCATGCTCGTTTATCTGGCCGCCTTATTGTGTAATGATGACAAAGTGCTGCTGCTGCTGCTGCTGCTGGTGATGCCGATGCCGATCCGGAATGCTGCTGGTTGCCAGCTCCTTTATGTTAGCCTGATGTCCGCCATCTCGTTCCAGTCGCAGAGTCAGAGTCACAGTCACAGTTAAAGTCGATGTGCCTGCCTCTATCTCTATCTCTGTCTCTGTCTCATTCTCATTCTCATTCTCAGTTCGCATCAGCACATTCATTCATTTGTCTGCGTGCTCATTCATAAACTAAACGGACAGGCACTGAGATCCGGGCTGTGGGCCTTTTTGCACTCATTGCTTTAGTGCCCAGGACGTTGTCCAGCTGTCGCTGCTGCGTAGCTAAAGCGACAGTTGACAAAGGCTAAGCAGGCAGAGCCAGGCATTCGCCACATAGCATACAGCAATCGTTGTCGCAGTCGTCGTCGCAGTCGCCGTCAACGTCGCAGTTGCCGTCACATTTGCCATGTCCAGTTAGTTCACAGTTTCATCTCCTGCCGACAGCGTAAAAATTTCAATTCGCCATACAACTTTGCGGTCATTTATACAAACAGACACACGCACACACACACTATGACATTTTTTTCTTTACACACACACAAACACTCACACTCACACAGTTGGAGTTCTATCTGTATGCTGTGGCCTTTTTTTGCGTTTTGCCAAGCCAGGCCTTTCATATTACAGTTACAAATTTGCGTCTATTGTTGGTAATGGTGATGCTGTGGCGTTGTCCTCGGCCAGAGTCAGTTGCCTGCGGCGCTGTGCCTGATTACTTTTTCTAGCTTACTTAAAATTCGATTAGGCCACGCCCACTAACTAACTTTTTTGTTTGTGATGTTCTGGTTTCTGCCATACCTCGTCCTCTACTAATCCTACTCTGTCTCTCTCTAAACATGCTTCTTCTTTTATTTTGCAGTTTGCGAGGGATTGGAATTATTGCACGGATTTCGTTGATTGCAGAAGCGTAAGTACATGCCCCGCCTCCAACTCCACCTCCAACAACAACAACAACTGGCAACGGCAAAAGCCCCCACGCCCCAAATCCCATTCCATATTATGATAAGTACAAAGACAGCGGTTAGATGCGATAACAACGGCCTGAATAGCCCTAAGCCATGGCTTTCTAAAGCATCCAGCAACAGTTCATAATTATTATGATCCCTTAACCCATTAATGTGCCCGATGAGTAAATGCTTTTGCCGCTCTAACTAAATACTTTGCTGGCAACTATGAAAATTTAATGCAATGCTAATATACTTAGCTTCAAATTAAGTGTTATCTGGAGGCCAATTTCGAGGGAGTTTTATGTTTAAGCCAAGTGCATATATTTTATTCTATGAAAGCACTTAGCTTGCTTTAATATTTGCTTTGGTTTGATAGCACATTTATTTATTCTGGCTACACCTTGCAAACTGTTTTTTTCTGCCGAGGTCTAGCAATAATTAAGAGATGCAATCACTGTATTCACATTTCTGAAAGCCCTCAAATCAATTGAAATTGAAAAGTTTCACATAGCAAATTTTGATTGCGTGGCGCAAACATTTTTTGCAAATAACGTTTTCAATCTGAAGAGCATTCCATTTCAGTTGTTAGCCAAGGCTAAAACGGGCATTTACAAAACAACAACAACAACAACACAAACAAAAATAAAACTAAAATGCCAGTGCTGCGATGCAAACAGAAAAAAAAAGAAAAAACAAAAACAAAAGTAAAACCGAAAAAGCAATTTAAAGCTAAAAAAGCAACGAAAAAAGGAATTTTTCAATACTGCCGCATCAAATGTCTGTACTGCAAAACATATCGATACTTTTGCCAAATTACTCAATTCACTAATCAGAAACAAATTACAATAAAATTGCCAGTCCTGTACACATATCGATAACTTACTCAATTAAGTATAGCTTATCGATAACGGAATATACACATCAGGGATCCTCATTTTGAACGCAAACAGACATTCAAAATGAATTTCGCTTTAAGTCTGTCGCACAGATTGCTCGGGCAACGAATATTTGGTGCGTATTTAAGTACGTGGGCGCATTAATGGGTTAAATTTCGTTGCTATTGACTGCTGCGGGCGGCTGGCAAAATTGCGTTGGCAATTTGCGACTTTTTCGCCCCTTCCACCCGTCCATTTCCTGCAGCGATATATATATACATTTATATGTGTGTGTATATATGTATATGCTGCTACCGTTATGCTTTTGCCGTTGCCTTTCCTTTGCCATTTTCCTAATGTCGAAACCATCCACAGTGTTGGCAAAACTGCCACAGGCAATTGGCGCCCTTTGAGCTGCGCGTCCACCATGCCCAACGACAGGGTGCACTGGTGCTGACCGACATTGGATGGGACGAGATGATTGCGAACGCATCGCGTCAATGCCTGATCACCTGGGAGGTATCCGGCGGCGGCCTCATGGGCAACCTGCTCACAGATACAGCACGCGCCGAGCTGTCACTCTGGCCGGATACAGTGTACAACATACAGGTGACCTGTAAGCATAAGGTAAGCCAGTCAAGTCCGCAGCCTTTGACCACAGTGACAGGATAGAAATTGTCAACCATTCTGTTTGTAGCTAACGGGTCTGATGCGGCGTTCACTGAAGCTCAATGTGGACACACATCGGCTGCTGTCAGCGGCAGCGGCAACCAATCGTTGGACAAATCCCAGCCTGTTGCCCCTAAACGTGGATATGCTGCCAGCAGCAGCTGCGACAACAACAACTACAAAAGCAATAGCCACAGCAGCAGGAGCGACAATAACAACAATTTTGCAGCGCGCTCGACCCACAGACCGTGTGTACATCATCAGTGCATTGCCCACGGCCAGCCAGTTGAGCGGCGTTGTGTATCCGGCCTTTGGTGCGTTGGCTTTCTTCCTGGCATTGCTCGTTATGTTCCTGTTTCTGCGTCCGCAACGCAAGCGGGCCTCTGATGGTGATGCGGACACCGCATCCTTGCTAAGCGGTCGTCGCTCGCGGCTCTCCATGGACAACTCAACGCTGCATGTGTAGGCGCTCAAAAGGCGAACCGAGTTAAATGACAAAATAACAGCAACAACAACAACAACAGCAAAGAAACAAACCAACAACAACAACAAAAAGAGAGAACTTGTAGTCGTTTATGTCTGACTATGTGATATTCTGCACCCAAATTGTACATAACATAGATACACACAAACAAACAAACACACACACAGACACACACAGATACAGACACAGACATACATATATATAGCCTATACTATACATACATAAACATGCGTATTATAACATATGTAGTTATCAAATCAAATATCTCACATCAAGTCCAAAAAACAAAAACACAAAATATGAGAAAAAAGTTCGCTCAATCGTACGGTTAAGTTTTACCTTTTTTTAGTGTTAGGGGCCTACAAAACAAAACAGTCATAAATTATATAGACTCTATATATATATATACATATTAACTATATACATTAACGCGTACACTATATACATACATACATACAAATTCATATATATATCATAGTTATATATACATAATCTAGGGGCCTCGGCCAACCAACTACATACACCAAACTAAATGCAACAAATTGCTACAAATTTTTATGCAACATACAATTTTTTCTCGTCGCGTCGCTTTTTCCAAACTAAACTAAACTAAACTAAATCAACTAAACTAAAAACATACAAATATATAAACAAAAAAAAAAAACAAAATGGAAGTCTTAAAGGTCGCATGTCGTTTTCAAATTCGTCGTCTATATAATAATATGAATTAAAGACAAAAACAAAAAATGCATAAATTCAAATAAACTCATACCAAAAACAAAAAATAAAAATAAAAACAAAAACAAAAAACACACAACTAAAATCAAAATGGAATATTTTTCAAAATTTTTAAATGTTTATATACCTAGCTAAAATGCAAAATTACAAATTCAAAAGAAAAACTAAACTAATCTAATGAAAATTATGTACTTGAGCAAGTCAAAAGAAAAACCAAAAAAAAAAAAAAAAAACAAAAACAAAAGAAAGTTAAAAAAGCTTCGCTACGCAAAATGCCTGTAAATATCTAAGCGTCATTCAGATAAGAACTCTTTTTTTTTATATATATATATATACATACATATTATTATCTATATCTAGCTCTTTTCCAGGTCAAAGTATCCTAAATAGTTTAAGCAGAGCAGCAGCAGCTGTAGATGAGGCTACAACAAAATCAACTGGATTCATAAACATGTAAACATGTTCCATCTGTTTGTCTGACATACATAAAGCATACATACATACACACATACATACATACTTTAATGCCTAATATAATGATAATCAGCTACAGATTTGTAGTACTATATATATATATATAATCCTAAGACTAGCATCTGTTTGCTTTTCAAGATCGGACCAAGTTTGTAGCTTGAGTTTCGATGCGATTAGGTTTTTTTTTTTGACTGACATCTAGTCGGATATAGCTAGGCTTATATGTAGCATTCCCCAACATAGGCGCCAAATCGAAAAGCTCTCCTATGGCTATCTAGATAGGTGACAACAATAGAGCTCAGCGTAGATACTAAGCAAACAATAGCATTAAACGAAAGTAAACCAAAACTACATAACTATATATATATACATATAAATATATAGCCGGGCTGAAAAGGAGAACATTTGTGCAGAGTCTGAAATATATAGATATTAGTTATATAACTTGTCAATCGAATTACCGGAAAAGAGCATAAGAGATGCGGTGCGCACCGATCGATATATAAACTTAAAAAAAAACATAAATAATATAAATCAAATACAAAAACATAAACTGTATCAACATATGTATTCAAATATCTATATTTGAATTATTCTAGTTTAAGTTTAGTGTTTTTTTTTTTTATTATTGTTTTAATTTTTTTATTATTATTTTTATTTGATTATGTAAATATAATTTGATTTGTTATTGCAGAGCATTTTGGGCTTTATTTGTGCTGTTGGGTGTTGGCATGGGAATATCATTTGCCACGGCGCATGTTGCCAAACTAACCCATCGATTTTTTTTCTTTCATTTCTGCGCTGCGTTGCGCCACGCCGCGCCGCGCTGCAGCATGGATGTTGGTTGATAAAAACAACAAAATGGATAACCACTTACCATATAAATTGGAGCCGCAAAATATGCCAACGATAAAAAAAAACAGCAACAACAACATAGAAGCAGCTTTTGTTGAGGGTGTGCCCGCACAGCACACCGCCCCGCCCCGCCTTGCCGCCCGCGCACCTTCATGATGGAGGCGTTGTCCTTTATCCAATTGGTTTGCGCTCTCGCTTGGCTTACCTAGTTATGGAGCTGGGCGCTTTTCGGTTATTGTGTTGCAACATTTACATTTATACATTTATACATTTATGTATTTCCATGGCTTTTACATTGTCTTCTTCCTCTGCTTAACTGTTTGCCATAAATATCGCTTGGCATGCATAATTCTGCCCCACTTTGACTTGACGCAACTTGTTTACTTAGCCCCAACCAATGCCCCAGCAGCTGAATCAATTGAAACGTTGACAACATCTCTTTAATTGGCTTATAATAGTTTTCTCTTCCTCTTGTTTTTTTAAGATTCCTAATGGATTTATTGTATGTTTTGACAGTTGTCTGCTGACATCTAAATGGATCAAGCAACAGTTCGCGCGCTCTCTTTCTCTCTCGCTCTCCCTCTCTCTGCCTCTTTGATAATTTGAGCTGTTGTGCAAACATTTGAAATTCCTTAAGCTCATATAGAGAGAGAAGAGCCCTTCTAGACGCAATTACATGATTTGTTTTACAATGTAACACTTTTTCTACTTCTTCTGCTAGTCTCTCTGTCTCTTTCTCTCCCTCTCTTAGTGGGCGTGTGTGTGTGTTTTATCTCTTGGGTTGCCGTTAGCTAAGTCTAACATCGTTACAGATTTTTCCACTTGAGGATTTGTTTTGAATTTCAATACAAAAAAAAGAAGCAGAAGAAGAAGATGAATCTTGTTGAGGCTTTAGGTAACCCAAAAGGGCGTGCACCCACACTAAACAAGAAAAATCTCAAGTTGCATTATCTCAAGTTCCATTTGGAGTTTGGCTAAAGGGGTTCGGGCTGGGGCTTCACCTAGCTGAGCCAGCTGCTCCAATCTAAAAGGCGGATGGGGGCACTTGGCTGGCATTTGTTGGTTGACTTGGCTGGGGCTGGCTGGCCACTTGGCTTTCAGCTCTGTGCTCCACTCTCCATTCTACTCGTTCTCAAGCACTTTTTATAAACCAAATTAAATTTATATGGGCCTCCGGCAGTCAACAACATTCACCCGCCCGCCACTTGGCACCCAAAACTCATACAATACCCCATTCCTATTCCCATGCTCTCTGTCGCTCTCTCCCTCTCTTACTGGCTGTGGGCGCTGTCAACTGCCAATTAGCTGAGCATTTTTCAACATTTTAAATTGTCTTGCCGAGTGCGTGGCCCCAGCTCTGGGGCAACACTTGAGTGAGTCGTTTTATGCGACACAGCCTTCAGATTTTACCCCTGCTTTCATCTACTTCTTTGTTGTTGCTATTGTTTGTTTGCTTTTTTACTGTTGTTGTTGCTGCTGCTGTCAGCTGTGCAGCGCGTGCTTCATTTATCAAAAAGCAATTACAATGTTATAGGCAATTCGATGCTTGATTCACCAAGTGCCCCATGGGCTATAGACATACTGGCTGCCGCTTCATCATCAGAAACAACAGCAGCAGCAGGAGCAGCAGCAACATCTCAGCCCACCTGCTAAAACAAAGGCAAGAGCAGAGTCAACCCAGCTTTATTTCATTTATTATTGTTGTTGCTCTACTTCTGTTTTTTTTGCTCATTTCTACAAACACATATATATATTTATATATATATATATATATATATATATAGATAAATTGAAAAGAAAATTCAAGTTAAAAAAAAATAATAAAACCAAAAAGTATATAGCGCGTACCTACAAACATATTGTATTACAAAAACAACACAAATTATTAACTTTAAGTAGACGAAACAAAAAGAAAAACAAAACCAACAACCAAAAAATACAAATGAAGAAGATGCAGAAAAAGCAACATCAAAAATAAATTTAGACTACAAAACTCAAAACAAGCGAAATACTAGAAACCACTAGAGAGGAGAGGAGAGAAGAGTTGGGCTGAACATGATGGAGAAGAAGCACACTAGTGAGGAGACGAGCGGCGGTGGGCAGCAGCAGCACTAGAGAGGAGACAGGAGCTGGCAGCAGTGGCAGCACACTAGAGAGGAGAGTGCAGTGTGGAGGCGAGGCAATGGCAGCGGATGAGCAAGAACAAGCAGAAGAAGACAAAAAGCGAGCATGTGTTTGTGCTATAAAAGGTTTCTCATTACAATTTTTGGCCAAGGGTCGCATCGTTGCACAAAATTACTTTTTGTTGCCGTTGTTGTTGTTTTTGGTGCTTCAAATGCTGCTGCTGCTGCTGTGCCGCGCTCTCAACGCCAGCGGCGCTGTTAGAGAAAGTGGTCGTGGGTCGAGGGGGTGGCGGCGTCCTTAGTAGGTGTTCGGCTGACTGAAGTGCCAGGGCGGCAGCTAAGGGGCAGCGGGCACAGGACAGGGCGATTGATATACAACACACAGCCGCTCTGAGATACACACACATATATATATATACATATATATATATATGTATAGATATATAGCTATATATACATTTACACATAGTATATAGTACACATAGAGATGCTTATGCTGTTTATAGCTAGCAGTTGCTGTTCCACAAACAAACACACCCACAAGCACGCGCACACACACACACACAATAACAGAGAGACAGCGCTGTAGCTGGGGCGGTTGCACGTGACATGGCCAAACATGTTCGAGGCTGGAAGCAAGCGCTAGGTTCGATGCAAAGGATAAAACGTAACCCGCATCCCAAATGGCAGTCGAACTCAGCGCCAGTGCGTCGGCGCCTTGCCACATCTCGCTCACACACACACAGAGGCACACACGCACACACACAAACAGACACAATGGGCAGGAAACAGGCAACGAGCACAACACAATGAAGCCTTGCCTTTATGCCTTGCTCTTGATGCTGTTGCTGTTGCTGTTGCTGCTGCTGCTGTTCTTGGCGTGGCACAATTCGCGGGCGCTGTGCTCACATTTAACCTTACCAAAGGTTACGCGGAGTAGGCGCGAGCGCCAACGATGTTAGCCGACGACAGCTGCCAGGCCGAAGAGCTGTTGAAGTTTTGCCCCGTCACAGCTGTCTCTGCAGATATAGAGATGACGATGAGCTGATACTTAGCTTTATGTTCGCTGGCTGCCGCTTGCCGCTTGCCGCCTGCTGACTGCTGGCCCGTTGGCCCATTGGCTGCTGAATGCTGCCGTTGCAATTGACAGCTGTGACGGGCGGTAACATGTTGATACGGGGCGCTTTGTTGTTTCTTTGAGATTTCATCTAATTCGCTTTGCGTTACACTTGATTTTCGGCTTGTCTTATTAAAAGACAATCAGATTGGAGTTTGCCGTATATTAAGGGCATGTGTCACTGTTAATCTTCTCAAGCATTTCTCAGCGGCTTCCACTGACGGCACCTAAGCCCAAATGAGTGATTTTCTGTCCCGCTCTCTATCTCTTTCTCTCTTTCGTTACAATATATCAACTATGCAGTGACTGACAACATCGAATCACAGTGACTAATCACATCAATGTGGATTAGTGGTATGGTAAGTAGACGTAAGTATGTCTGAGTGCATCTGACATTCTGTGGGTCTTTCAGCTGATATCTGAAAGGGAATGGTAGAGATTCCCACAGACGTCTTGACCAGAAATTATGACTACCGCCTAACATTATGCAAATATTGCATTAAAACAAATTGCCTGACTTTGCCGTCAAAAATTGTAAATTTTCTCTTTTTCCCATCTAGATATAGAGAGCATACAGAAAAATGTTAGGAAATCAGTTTAGTTTTGATCGAGTAATCTAAGTCTTAATAAACATAAATTCCTATGTTTCATTTCACTTCAACAATACCCCAAAAAATTAAAAAAAAAAACATAAAAAAATATATTAGCTAAGGCTACAGCCTCCGTTGTTCTACCTCAAAGCCAATATTGTTGAAAGCTTTAACTAAATTATTGAGAGTGAAGCTTAAATTGAAACTGAAGAACTAACACTAAGTTTAGTTCGTGGGTATGTACTTTATACGTATAAATGCACACACACACAAATATATATATATATGTATATATGTATATGTATATATCTAAATAGATGTATATATATATATATATATAAAAGTTTGGGTCCTCTACGAACTTGCATATACAGAAACTAGCAGAAGACGCGATTCACAAAATTGTTGCAAAATTTTCGAAGTTTTTTTTTAAATTAAGTAAAGAGAAGAAAATCAGTAAAGTTATTTAGTAATATTTGCTAGCAAAAGAATGGAAAATGAATTTGTTCCTTACCATTGGTATAAATAAATAAATATATATATATATATCATTATATATACTAATATATATATGTATATAATGATTTTTCCTTCCCACACCATCTACACATAGAGATCAATTTCGCTTGTAAACCACATTATTGGATATACCCAACAAAAAAAAACTAAAAAGAAAAAACTTGAAAGTCAAAAGCCACAGCAATGGAGAAGTTGAGCAAAGCGAAGTGGGCGGAAATGTGCAATACCTTTGCCATATTGGACGTGGATGGAAGTGGACTGCTAACAGCCAGGGAACTGCGTGGAATGATGCGCGTGTTTGGCTACGAAAACAGCGAAGAGGATGTGCAGAGGATGATCGATGCCGTCGACACCGACGGCACTGGCAAAATGGACTGTGCCAAATTTTGTGCCGCTCTGCTCTGGACGCTGAAGCCCGAGGACACGAAACTGAGCGATATGCATCAGCAGCCCAAAGCGCATATCGAGGACCATAATGCATCGAACGGCTCATACAGTCCAAACGAATAAAATATCCTCAGGCAAAGATAAAAAGAAAATCAAAAAACGAAAAAAAAAACAGTTAACTGCGTTTCCAATTGCTGGCCTCTGCAAGTACGTGTGCATACACATATACATATGAGATGATGATGATGATGATTATGATGATTATGATGTATATACGGCATGCGCATCTTTAGATATGTTTGTTAGATCACACAATGAACTCTTCTCCAAGCAACATTTCTGTTCGCAAAAAAAAAAAAAAAAATTGTTTGGAAAACGAACAGAAAATGGGGAAAAAATTAAGTGTTATATTAAAAAGTGAAAAGAACTTAATAAAATAATTTAAGGACAAAATTACAGTTATGCTTAACTGCTGGCTGATATGGTAATCTAAGGGAAAATTCTGAAATCTTCAAATGGCTAAAAACGATTGCTCTGAAGTTGGGACGAGGTCTGCTCGAAAAGTATTGGAGTACACTTTGTGCCCCGCTAAGTACTTTGGAATTGTTAGCTTGTGCTTCAAATATGTTTCAGCAGGGATATAGTTAGACTGGGTATATAAATATAATAAATAATATATATTATAATAATAATATATCATATGATAACATAATCAGGAATATATCTCTTATATCAACACTTAAGCAACATCAAGCAGCATTTTCGCTTGAGTTGTACACAGTCCAACAAGATTGAGTAACCAAAACTCGCTTAAATGCTCGTCCACAGCTAATAGAGCTTATATAGTTTCCGTTTCAGCACGACGAAAACCTGGCGAATAGTATATATTTTTCTGATCAGTTTCATTCGCAGTAGGGAACGCTGCCAACTGCATGGGACACTAAAGTATAGCATACCTTTCAGGGCAGGCCTAAGATACCTTTGTGAATTTTGGTACACACAGATATATAATTATAAATTCTAAAAGATAAACAATTCGCCAGCCTTTCTATACTTACGTTTGCAAATGAATTAAAAACTCGTTGCTTATCTTTTGATAAAACAAAATGTTGGTGTTTATTTCAGCTCAAAGGTTTGATGAATACAAAAAAAAATATATATTTATATATACATATATATATATATATAAATATATATATATACGTATATATATATATGTAAGATATTGTACAATATGTTAATGTTTTTTTCGTTTTTGTTTTAAATAGTATAATTAGTTTTTTGTTTTGTTTTAATCATTCTTCTGCATGACATATTTATAATTGTTGTATTTAAATACATACATAATAATAGTACATAAATGTTGTTTTTCTTCTTTTTAATAACCCCCCCAAAAATATTTAAATATAATGCGCTTTGACCCGCAACTAAGTGTTATATAGTTTTTGTTGTTGAAATTGGTTTTGTTTTCTTTTTCTTTTTAGTAATATATATTTTGTTAAATTTATTAATATATTCATATATATATATATTTATATATATGTGTGTATATTATAATTATCTAGTTTTCCACAGTGCTGTCTGCTGTTTCAGTTTCAGTTTCAGTTTCAGTTTCTTATTTGCTGCTGCAGTTGTCTGTTGAATCGTTTTTAAGTACGTGCGCACAGGAAATAACAATTTATCGAGTGATAGTTCGTGGAAATGTAGGCCACACGGTGTGCTGAGCTTAATGTGTCGGCTTCCAACACTGCGCTTGTGTGTATGTGTGTGTGTGTGTATTTATGTCACCGGCCATTGTGTGACGTCACAGCGTGCAGCCCAGTCCTGGGAACTGTGCCAGCACGCTGCCAGCGCCTGAAGCCTTCATAAGTTTTAATAAAAAAAAATATTGTTTAATACATATTACATACATACATAAGTATAACAAATTAAGTTTTCTTTTTTGCTTGTTTTTTCCTTTTTTTTATAATAATAACTATGAGCTCTGTCATCGATAGAGATAGAGTATACACAGCGTGTGTAACGATCGATTGACATTATCGATAAACTGCTTCCAATCAGCAAATGCTAAGCTTCAATAAATGCGCTGCGTTTTTATGTTTGTTTTTCATTTGCTATACACAATTTGTCACATTTTTAGTTGCGTTTTTTTTTCATTTTCTTTTTGAGTTTGTTTCTTTTTTGTTTTGTTAACGTATAATAAAATACATTTGCTGTTATTGTTAATTGTTTCAATTTACAATTTAGTTTAGTGGCTATATAATTTAGCTTGCCGCTGTTTAATGACTTTATTGTCTTATATTAAAAATGAATGTTGTCTTGTACACAAAACAATTACACACACAAAAAAGCAAATCATAATTATAATCATCATTTCATATTATCATATTAATAATAGTAGTAATCAAGAAATGCATACACGCAACGCGACATTTATCAAAGATGGTTTTGACAATAACAAAAAAATGAAAGGCATAGGCAAACATATGTATATATAAATATATATATATATATATATATATATAAAAATTATAAATTATTATTTTGTGTTTTTTTCTTTAAAAGCAACTGGATAATTTTGCACACGTTGATCAGATGGTTTAAAATCTGGCAACGTTGCGCTCTGCTGCTGTTCTTTTCGATGCTCCTGCACACGGACTCTGCTGGGTTTTTATTTTCTTTAAATGAGTAAACGAGTGTGAGTGTGTTGGTGTTTGTGTGTGTTGGTGTAGGTGTTTTAACTTATTTTACAATATATGCGTGTGGCAACCTCTGTATTTAGCTGTGCTCGGTATGTGTGTGTGTGTGTGTTTGTGTTGTCTTTAGACTTTTAGCTATGATGCGCGCAACGCTTGCCTTAAAGCAGATTTATTCGTGCGATGGCTGCTGTTCCGGAAAGCCGCTAACCTCTGTCTGCTCCACGAGCTGCTGACCATCGAGCGTATATTGTATGCGTAGACGCATGCGTAGCACAGCCTATTGTGACGAAAAGGAAGAAAAGTTGTTATATAAGTTGATCAGACAACAAAAAATAAAAGATTTTGTAGCCTCTTTTGCAAAGGAAAACAATTCACATTTCTAGCGCCTATACATCCTCTGTTTATAAACTAATTAAGTCACTTACATTGGACGTAGCAACAACGCGCATTTCCTGCGTGATGACACCGCCTGGAGGCAGCACCGAGCCCGACGGCGTCAGCATTTGCAGTTTAAAACTCTTCTGCACGGCCGCCTGTGAAATACAAAGAAATCGTTAAACAAAGTCTTTCAGTGATAAAACAGTGAACAGACGCACCTGCAGCAAATACTGCTCTAAGGTATTGTCTGAGCTATTTGTGGTTGTCATAAAGATTTTCATGCAGTCACTGCCCGGCACTGGCACCAGTTGCACCAGCAGTCCGTTCTTGTCCAGGGCCGTTAACTTGGGACCCTGTGGAGGCTGCAATTCAAGTATATAACAATTAGGTACACATGCTGGCTGACAGAGAGGGTATTTATCATTCTTACCATTGTCACATTGTTGGAAGCCGTCGTGGGATTCAGTTCACCCAGCAGACTGCCGCTGTTGACATCACCGCCAATGGGTGGCATTACATGGGATGGTGCACCGCCGCCAATATTAAGGCCACCTAGCATGCTCGTAAGATCGTTACCGTTTGTGGGTATGTTATTGGGCATAGGGTTGATGCCACCGAAGCCGCCCAGATCGAGGCCACCGAGCATGTTGTTCATATTGGCGGCGCTGCTGTGATCAGTTGCAAGATTGACGCCCATGACGGGCGTTGCAGTTGGCGCTGACATATCCAGATCGAGCAAATCGAGCAGATCCTGATTGTTTGACACCGGCTCATCGTTGTTTGCATTTCGTGTGTTCTTTTTATGCACCGCATTTGAAAGGTCTGTAGCCATGGCCAAATCATTGGCGCCCGTCGACAGGTCCGTGCTCCCCAATAAGTCCAATAGGATATTCTAAAAAATATTTAATTTTTTATATATATTGTTGAAGATTAGTGTGCATTGTCGTTTACCGTATTGTCACCCATTGTGTTCATATTGCTTTCGATGATAGGATGCGTACTGTTGCCAATCTCGATGCCATTCTCGATAACGTCTGGACTATTGTCATCGAAAGAGCCGCCGCTTTCGCCATTCTGCGAACTAATGCGACTGATTTGCATGGCGGGCATCTTTTCCAGTAGGGGCGGACGCAGGTGCTTGTAGCTGCCAAACAGTTGCGTAAACTCTACGCCGCGTTGCTGCAAATCCACATTCAGATGGCTGCCAAACGAGGTAATCAATGCCTGAATTTCTCTGCAATAAAATAAGATTAATTATTAGCAACTGGATAGATAAGAAAGAGACTGAATATGGCTGGTCACTCACTCCACGCATTGCTGCAGGCGCGTGCTCAACTTGGCCAGAGAGACGAGCGCATATTGCTTGCTTGTTGTCGACACTTGAGCAGAGGTTAAAAACTTATGATACACAGCGATCAGATCGCTCTCCGTTGGACGTTCGAACTCTGTTCAAATAGATGTAACAAGTAATTCGATTAGTTTCACAAATGATGTATTGCCCACTCACCATCTTCATTAGCGCCGTACATGAACAGATCACCGTACTCGCCTATGGCCCAGACGGCAACCTGCAGCAACGGCTGCTTGTCCTCACAGTGATTGGGCACCTGCAGCGACTCCCAGAACCGATTCGTGATATATGTCTGCTCTGGCACGGGACTGCTGGACACCAGCTGGATGGTGGACGAGACTACATCGTCGCGCACATAATTGCCGGCAGCTATCAAGACGCTCAGCTGCGTATCCAGATGCCAGCGTGAATTGGGCGAATAACGTTCGGCGGCCAGAATCATGCCAGAGCTGCATTGCGCCTTGAATTCAGCATCGGCCTTCTCGAGGAACAGCAATAGCTCTTTAGTCATTGTACGTATATTTTGTGCATTGATAAGCGCAAAAGATAGCTCCATCGCACGCCGCCTAATCGATACATCCGGATCCTTGAGACACTCCAATATGGTTGTGCGATGCCGCTGCACAGCCGACGTGTCAGCGTGCACCGTACGCAGCAATGTATTCAGAGCCACATAGCGTATATTCTTGTCCGAGTTGAGTAGAAAGCGGCCCAGGATGTTCAC